TTATAGGTTTTTATGTCAACTTTGCAACGTTGTTTTAACAGAATTAGTAGTATTAATGTTTCAATTGAAATATGCATTCGATAATAATACTAACATTTGATAAAATGTCACAAAATATCATAAAAAATCCAATTGAATCGTTCTGAGAAAATTAGATACCTGAGAATATGAGAATTTTAAATCTCAAATATGCCAACTTTGCAACGCTGTATCTCGGAAACTAGACGTATACTCAAGCTAAAATTTTTACTGGAGGCTTACCTCATCATAAGGTTTCATTTAAGCCACAAACGAACGAAATCCCCGGGTTCCCGAAAAGGGGCCAAAAAAGGCCCTTTTTTAGGGAGGCTCTTTGGCAACGCCTAAAAGTTCATACGGCGTTCTTCCTTAACATGGCAGCACAGACCTACAGACGAGGGACTTTTGCTCATGCTGCTTCTTTCTTATTTATTTATTTTTTTTTTTAAATTTTGTTTCATTATAATTTTATTTTATTCATTTTTTTTAAATCATAGTCATAGCAATCAGCTAAAAAATTAAAACTTTCTTGTGTTGAATAAAGAAAGTATTAATTCAGACGTAAAGAAACAACTAGGTATTGATTCTAATTTTTGGAATTCAAACAGACAATTTTTCATCTTGAATGCATGTCACCAGCTTGTACACTCGCGAGTGCGTACAGTAAAAACAAGTAATCTCATATTGCCTTAAATCCGTCGGATAGGCAACTAAACAAACGGTCTTGTAAAGCGGAGAGTATCACTAGGATGTGAAGGCGCTCCAACTTTCAAGCCGCGGTCGTACTAATAAAGTTCCTTCTCAACCAATGAAACCTTTATGTCGAGGCGAATTACTGAAATTTGACAAGTTGACACGCATGTCGCTTGCAAACCTGCAATTCTACTGACGGGCGAGGGCGACATATTTTGAGTTTTCAACAGAGGAGCTAAGTGGAGTGTTCTGCACAAATACTGGGACAAGAAATCGCCAAAAAACGGCTCAAAAAAGAGTGGCGGTTTCATATTAGCAGTCTCGTGCTTAAAATTCGATTTTTTACCCTACTCGATGTATACTTTTCGCTCATTACTGCTGCTGAAATTGTTGTCTCCACGGACGAAGGTCGTCCCTCTTCTAATTATTTTTTCATTGTCACCGTCGAGGGGGTGAATTTTTGCCACCCATGAAAACGTTTTGAATTTTCGGTTAATTAATGCAAAAACACCTAACACCTTGTAGTTGCGTTATATAATAAAAGTTAAAAAAAAAAAAAATCGGCTTCCTCCCCGAGTTAACAAATGGGGGTTGGGAAAGCATAAAACGGCTAAGGAGAAACACCGTATGGATATTCGAAGGTTGCCCAATTCCCCCGGATAAAACACGGATTTTCTTGGAAAGTTATTCAAATTTTTCCTTACAAATCTCAGATATTTTAGATGGAATTGCGAATTAAATTGCCTAAAAAAATTGAAGAAAAATATTCCAAATTTTCACAGTAAATTCAGTTTTTATTGAGAGAAATGCGGTAACGTCTAAAGACTCGTACGGCGTTCTTCCTTAGCACGGCAGCCTAGCGGGTCCTTCACAATTAAATCAATGAAAACAAATTAGTATAGATCCTTTTAAGGCCGTGGTATCTTCCTGATAACGCCTAAAAACTATAGACCCCCCCCCCCTCCACAACAAAATTAGGCGGGCTGTTATTCGTAAATTTAGGGGTGAGCTAGGCACACTTTTGTACAAGATTTTGTTCATTTAGCTAATAATTGGTGTAATCGTATTTCAGCAAAAAATGAATTCTTTACATACAAAGTGTTCTACACCGCTGGGAAATGTTTTTAGACAGCTGACTGAATTTTTATTGATCTGTAAAAATTACATGAGTTTTTGAAGCTCTCACCCGTCCCCTTCCCCTCCAGACTGCCTCCCATCGCAATGCCCTTTATTACATATCAGACTCAGGGTGCTTGAAAAAATCGAAATCGCCTATTAAAACATGATCTAGCTGAAAGATTAACTGTCCAACTCAATCTGGGATGCAAGCGCAGTGACAGATGATCAGAAAAAACATGCATTTTTTTCCTGAAATCGAGATAAAAGTGAAAAGGGAAACACCGGATTTTTAAGTGCGCGCTGGACCATAGAATGCATTACGAGGCCCCATTATTATTATCCGGATATTTGTTCTCTTCACATGAACTACCAGAAAACTGCAGTCGTTTCTGCTACAGACTTGAATGACATTTGCTGTCTGTAATCCAAAATGTAGAGGCGATGAACCCGAATCTAAGAAAATTGAACGTAATAAAAAGTGAATCCGGATGATGCGCTATGGATGCGGACAAGTTTGTCGGTTCTTGGACAACCGGAGAGAAATGGAATCCTGTGCAAACTGCCCAAGATGCATCCTCCATCTTGAAGTAATTTAAGCGGGGAAGCTTTGAGCTGATGTCTTCGATTCTCCCGAAAAACCTTCACTTTCAAATTTTGAAGCTTTCTTTTCTTGAAACACTCGAGTGCAAGAGCGTAAGATTGATATTACAAAATCGATTTTGTGATAAGAGTTGGTACTATTGTTGGAATCCGACGGGTCTCCAAAGTTTTCTCGCTATCGACGAGATCTCACAGTTTGGTCACGTGACGTGCACTTCTACAGTTATTTTTTCAGGCATGATGGCGCCAAACTACTTTATTACTCCGTTTTTTCGTAATTTTAAGCATTTACTAAGTGTAAATTAATGTAATGGAATTACTTAATTGTCTCCTAAGTTTTCGTATCGTCAGTGCTTCTAGTTCGTTTGGTTCCGCGTCAGTCCGTAATTAAACGTATGTTCGAATGTGTATTGAGGACATGTTGGTTAGTTTGGTGACAGCAATTATTTCATGTGTTTAGCACCGAATTTTTCTGTATTTCGGTTTTTAATGGAGTGTTTCAAGTGAAGAAGATCTAGTGCATATTCCTAGGAATCTCCCAAAATTTCGTCTGATCCAAAACGTGAGTATTTTACATTAAATTTAGTCATTTTTTCTCATGTTGTTATGAAGAAGCACAGTGCTGCCATCTGCAATGTCAGCGCTCAGAGCCTAAATTTATCAGGATCTTAAAGCAAAAATACATAGTTTTAATCAAATTTGAATCGTAAATAGCTGCAATTAAAGCACTGGCATAGTCTCCTTCAAGTTAGGAACAAGAGTTTTACCCGTTCCAACGCCTATAGTGGCTGTAAACTCTGGTTTTTCGGCCATGTTTACATCTGATGACCTTAAGGATGGACCCTCTAGCCTGTCAACAATCAGTCTTTTTACCTCCTCTGAGCATCATTTCTCTCATGAAATCGTATTTCTTCAAAATATAGAACTTTCTAGTCTCACTGAAGGTTTCTGGCAGCAAGTTCGAAACCCCCTAAACTCCTCATTCCCTTCAGAATGTAGGAAATATGGCCTGTGAAAAGTACTCTCCAGCGAAACTCGCCAACGGAGCCTCAGACCGCTTGTGTTTTCAACTTGTCAGACAGGCTGTTTTCCTACAGAATTGTAACAAAGGAATGTGTTTCAAAGCCTCCCATTCGAACACCAGACTCATTTCCATGGTGAGGACAGAATGATTATCCTTCATCTATAATGTTTTACTGCAGGATGTTGGTTTGTTGATATGATTGAGAAGAAGTCGGAGAAAGAGTGGAGCACATCAAGTAACCCTGTCTCTTGTTTTATCTTTCAGTGTAGGTCCTCCCTTCACTCGCCTTAATTTTTACGCTTCAACCTCTCCAGTAATTCTAAACCACTCAGTTCAGATGTTGATGGAGTTCGAGAGATCTAGCTATATTCAAATGGCTGATATCCTTCTAACGTAGGCTCAGACCGTGTAACTTTCAGTCCGGTTTCAAGTATCAACTCTCCACATTGAGTTTTCAGCATGGATTATAAAGCCTCCCTGTTGTATTCTTTGACTTAATGTTCATTTCTTATCTCCTGATCTATTCAGACGTTCTCTGTCAAAAATGAGGTTAGGTACCTTAAGTTCACATGAATATTCAAGGCTAGTGAAATTTGTCACGTTCTTTACAATTATTTATCAAAGCAGTTGCAGTTTTATACCCCAGTCAGTCTCATATTGAATATTTTCTGTGGTTTCATTACCGAATCAGCTTAGAATCAGAGTTGAATCATTTTTAAAGACCATGAGTCACTCCTTTTAGAATCTTATTACACCTAAGTATTTTTAATTTTGATGTTCCTACGGAAAACTAATTTGACAAAACTAACTCTGTGTAATGTAGACAGTCGGTTTAGAAGCAGATTTATGCCCCTAAGGCAATACTTCTTGCTAAATTATGTTTAAAAGCCTTTATTTTGAACTATTTATCTGACGGTCATCTCTATTTCAGGAAAGGACTGGAGTCAAGAAGTCTGATAAAAGTCTGATAGTGCTAGCGGAATTCTCATTTTTTTACTTTTGGGCAAGAGCCATGTGAAGGGAAGTCAAGACAAGTTCTAATGTATCTCCACAATCCAGGTAAACAGACCAAATTGTTTTTCCTTCTCCTTTTGTCGTCTCTAACTTATCTACAGAATGCTTTGTAAATAATATTTTCAATTTTTATTTGAAACTAATGATATCCTTGTGCCTAACATGCCAGGTGATATTGTGTCAAGACTGTTGCCTCACTGAGGTTTTCAATTTTCTCATCTTTTTTCAACCTACCTTCAAGTGACAGTTTCATTTACAAAGTTAGTGCAGTACAAGTGACAAATTAAATTTCTTACTTCAGCGCTAACGTTTTCAATTAGTTGTGTTCATTACCTTTAAAATTTGAAAGATTCAAGATTGACTTACTAGCAGTATTCACTAGATGTCTGAAATTAGTCATTTCTGACTTCTACAAGGGACGTCACTGTCACTGTTAGGGGGAGAACATTAATGTTCTTTTTCTATCGTCCACAATGCACTAACCCTCGAACTTATTTTTAATGAAGTTATCAAAGTACTCAGAAAGCTTAAGCAACCAAACTGTTGTGAACAAGAGCTGAGCATTTCTCTTTAAAAACTAACCTCACCAGTCTATAGCTCTGACAATTGAATTTGCTTCGTCAATGGACCCCTTATCGTAACTCATCAGGAGTTTGATTGTTGATAGTTTCATTGGTGATCAAGCATAAAGAGAAAAAGAGGCGCCAAAGGGGATTGGTCAACACAAGTTCGACTGATATTTTTATTAATCATTGATTATACTTCTTTCATTTTTTATAATATTTTTTCCACCTCAACAAAATATTGGCTTTTTCTGTTGAGAACCTATATCCTTATGCAATTGTCAAGTGAACGGGTCTGTCTGCTCCCGATGAAATTTTGTGAAGTTTTCAGGAAAAGGAGTTACAATCGCCGCTTTAAACCCGCTTTTCTAATTTAAAACCCGTTAATTCAAAGCTAAGGTTGTTCACCCCGCAAGAACTTTCCAATTCAAAAAGAACTGTATTATTTTCTCTTTGTAAATCAACATTTTTCGAGGCCAAGAGGTCACTAACTTCTATAGAAGTAGTTTGAAGGAGCAGGGACAGAGTGTCTGTAATTCGCACGCAGCTCTGGAAAAACACAGTTGAAAGCTTTGTAGTTCAAAGTTACTGGACCGAAAGATCCATACTGCAAAAATTGTTTTACTCTTACAATTCTGAAGCTGAAGAAAGAAATTAGGTCAAGATGTAAAAGTGGCTTAAAAAAAAATACCGTGGACAGTAGTATGAATTTCCCATGTTGAGAGGAAGCTTACTTTAAAAGCATTTCTACTCGATACGTCCCAATTTCAAAGAGTGTTTTTTTAAAATGGTTTTTACGTTTGCTTTTTCCATCCTTATCCTGGATTAAAGTGTATGAAATTCAGACCATTTCGAAGTAAAGAATCTCTCCAGCATGCCCATTTCCTTTAGAAAGTCTGTGAAAAATTCATTCAGAATTTTCTCTTATAAATGTTTTACCTCAATTTTTTTTTTTTTTTTTTTAAAAAAAAAGAGAAAAAACAAAAACCTTGAAAACCAACATTGATAAAACCGATTACCTCATCATTGACTTTTATTAGGTTGCTCACAGCGCACGGGTCTGAAAAATATCTTAAATTTTTCTATTTTCTGATTTCATTTTTTATTAAAACTCTTCTCCACAGCCATGATACACAGGTTAAAATGCTATCGAGAGAAAATTCCAGGAAATAAAGTTCACCGATAATGCTTCTTAAGGTGCAAGAGGGAGATGTCTTGTGAGATCTCTCCTCCGGGTGGACGCTTAAACATGCATCACATTGTTTAGGTATAAACTTTAGGGAGGAGGATGGAAAGTCAGGCTGAAATTTTTCATGTGGACCAACATTTTAGACAGATTGGCAACTTTAAATCATTGTTAAACATTGTTTAAAAGGGAAGACTACGCAGTAGCAGAGTGTTTGCTTCATTTTTTCTGTTCCTTTCTGAGGCAAGTTTAGCGGTGGAAGATAGATTAATCATCATCAGCAACCGGTGTTTAAGATTACTGAAAAGAGAAAAGTGAGGATGTGACCGAAGTTTTATGATTTTGGCCTTTTTTAAAATCAAAGAAATTCATATTATTCCTATGTTAAAGTGGAGATATGAGTAAAATTAGCATGGAAGGACAACTAAGGAAAGAAGAAAGGAAAAGGATAGGATTCAAAGAACCTCAACATTTTTAAGATACGTTTTTCAAGGTGCTGTTTTTATTTTGTTAACTGGTTGAGTGTTGCAATTTTCATTTTTGAGCGGATACTTTTTCTTTAAGCCATGCTTGAACGTAGTTGAAACATTAAAAGCAGTGGCGTGCTTTGCGATAAATCGATTGATCTGCCATTTAAAACTATGGGAAAAGATTGATTAACAGGATGTTCGCGAAGAACATCTCAATAATCAATTTTTTATCATAGCTTTAAATGGGGAAATATTATTCATGCCTCGCCACTAATTATAAGATATTTTTCCTTGGATTAAGGAGGCCTGTGTAACATTAGATCATGGTGATCTTTTCGTTTTCAAATTTGGCAGTCTAATCTGACCGAGCGCTATTCTGCTAATTTCGGCGCTATTTCGCCTTTGTGTTTTAAATTTTTTATGAAAGAGGAATCGAGCAATTTCTCGCTCTCACTTCAATTTAATTTTCTGCAGGTTATCTTATTAGTACAGTCATTTGCTGAGTATTTATGAATGTAATACTAATCGTTAGTTTGTTAGTGCACAAAAGTGAATTGCAGTAAGGAAATTTTAAGTATCTATCGTTATTAGGGCGAATGTTATTGCACCTGAGCCGCTTTTTGTAACTTCTTGAGTGCCACATTTAAAGCTTCGAATCATTAAAATAACTTAGAAGCTTCCATTGATCAGATAATATCAACATCAGGAACATTTTTTGAATTAAAATTTTGAATGTGCGCCAAAGAAATGGTTGTAAGATTAATTGAAATCGATGTTCATATCTAAAACTCTGGAAAATTATATTCTTTTCCCCAAGAAAATTCAGGGAAAGTGGGAGAAAACTTCGGTTTCTCATCAGGAAATAAGCTCCTGAAAATCAGGGAATGAGTTTTGCCAAGAAAAGTAGACACCATGCATTAGATTAAAAGGAAAAATACTTTAATGATTTCTAGGAACAATTAGGAAATTTCCAATAGCAACAGAAGTAACAATTGAAGATTTGACATTTCAATGTCAGTGCTATTATTTTTTCCTGGAATTAAAGAAGGGATAGCACAGTACAAGGTTTACAAAATATGTTTACTCCTGCGATTAAATTGAAACATTTTGTTCAAGTTAGGAAGTCTGCGATTCAAAAGGGCATTTGTGAAGTTAAACTTGAAGAAAACGTTTTTAGGATTGAATGTAATTTTGATGAGACGTTTTTTGCATTAGGCCAAATTATCAATTTTATTGCTTTACGATTTTCCTGGATTTCTCAAGGTTTATCAAAATATATGTCGCTATTCAGCATATTTCAAAAATCTCTCACTAATAAATTTTGTTTATTCTCTTTTTTTTCAGATATGTCGGTTTCACTAATTGACTTACTCTTATATCATTCTCTTCGTCAAATTGGGCTCTGTAGTAAGTATTTCTTCTCTAACCATGAAGAGCGTTACATTATTTTGTGAAGATAGAGATAAAATTTTTTTTAGACGGCTTGGCTCAAATCCAGAGAATATCAGTTCATGAACCTGCAGTACACTAAATCAACCAAATAAATTCTTGCAAGTTTTTCATTTTTTATTTAAATTTTATCAATTTTTGACATTTAACCAATACGTAGAAAGATTTTATGTTTGCAATGAAAAATCTAAAATTTACCGAAGGTAAGTATTGTGCCCAGATGTCGGAAGATTACAAAAAATACTATCCCCTTTGATTGAGGTGCAATTAGTGGACTGAAATACCTAATAAAATTTTATTTTTTAATTGAAAAATATCAATAAAAAAAAGCCATGCTTTTTGAAGGCCATTTATTAGAAGACTTTAGCAGAATATTTTTATTCTTCGTAGTTTCCTTGCCGCAGGGATGCAAAAAGTTCTCAGCCCTCCTATTTTTCAGATTGACCTTCCTGCTTTAAAAACCCTTGTTTCCTTGTAAATTTTCAATTAATATTTTTTTTCCTCTCTCTTCACAAATCGCTGTGATTTTGCTAAAAATGCACAATTTCTCTCATGACTTTGCCGCAAATATGTGATTTTCACTTCAATTTTTCGGAAAATGCGAGTTTTTACGTTACCATGCTGGGCCTGCCCATTTTGATACCGCATTCTGAGGCCATCCCATTTTTATAGGCAACCAATCGCAACTTTTACAAACTGATATCAGAGTATCAGATGAGCAGCATACCTCTTTGAGGGAAAATTGTGCTCGTGTGTTCCTCCGTAGTGAGATATCAGCTTTAGGCTAAATTTAACGCAAGTTGGCTGAAAAACTCCAACATACAATCGCAACTTGCCTTTCGCATAGCCAAAAAGATTCTGCACCCTTGTTCGTTGAACTGCTGTCTGACAAACAGTCATTAGTTTAGTTTTACTCATTTTTTCTCTTCAGCATGAAGATGAAAGCTTACTATTTGTAGCCTTATTTTGCTTCTTTATCACTCAGATTCTACTGTAAGCGAAGAGTCTGAAGTTTGATTGAGTCCCTCTTACATCATCTGATGTTTTATACTACTGTCCAAAGCACAAATACCATAACTCCGTTCCACATTTTGCATTGGTCCTTTGAGCACACTGATAACGTCATTAACGTGTGTATGAGTGTTACATTACGAGTGTAACATAACTACTATCATGCCTCCTTTTTTTCAAATTGAATTTCCAGTGATATGTCTCAAGTTGTCCAGCGACCGGGCAAATCAGCAATTGTCAGGGAATCTTTTTTGTGTGAAGGAAATCATCAAGGAATCCGCAAAAGTTCGGAATGGTAGAGAATTTTATTTTGCAAGCGATTATTGTGTAGGGAAAACAAGAGGGAAATCAAAAAACACCGATATTTCAGAAAATTTTTTGCGAAATGTACTCTTGCGTAGATTTCTATCAAAATTTCCACCAGAATTTCTGCTGGTGTCTTTTAAATTTTAAAAATGAAGCAATAATATCTGGCATAAGTTTAGGCACCACATATTTTGCTCTCCTTATTCCATTATATTCATAAAACATTAAAAAATTCATTATTAAGTACATCTAACCAGTTCAACCGTGCCAAAAAGTCAGGAGTATTTTTTCTTTTTGTCAGGGAATTATTTTTTCCGTCTGTCAGGAAATTTAAAATTTTGTCCTGGTTTTTTGGCCGTTTTTGTCAGGGAAATCATGAAATTTTTTTTGAAAATTGCTAGACACCCTGTGTCACTTTCACCTTGAAAATATAAAAGATGGGCGCTCCTTGGTCTCCTTGCCGTATTGGAATTTTTTGTCAGAAGCAAATGAAAAACATTTAGGATGCAGTCACAGCGGTTTTGCTCTGAATGACAGTGTAGTCACTGAATAGAGTTTTTTGCAATCATTGACAATGGTTTAGAACAAAATTAGGATCTTGATAATGTCAAGTGGTTTTTATTCTTTGTTTGTTGCTAGTAACTTAGTTGAAAGTTATCCTCCTTTTTTCAGGCCGCTAAGCTACAGGAGCGAAGACTACAACATGTCTCATCGGGGAAAGAGACAAGCCCCGAGGGACGATGGCCCAGGTAAGAAAAATTCAATTGTTCTCTCGTTTTTTTTTATTTTGAAAGTTCTATTCTGCATCCTTAATTGTCTATGGGAAAAAGGACGGTAATTTATGAAAACTCAATGGACTTTCCTCGGAATACCGAGAAATTCGGCTGAGGCTAAATTTCGAGATTTTCTTTATTAAGATGCTCCTTATGATCTCCTGAATGAAAGAGGTTTTCAAAATTAAACTTTCAATGTGCTAATTTAAAGAAATTCAGGTCTGCAAAGTGCACTTTTCACCCCTGCTTTCCTTGAGATTGGCATGTGGAGAGTTCAATTTTAAAAGCTCATTTTACTGAGGAGATCTTAAGGAACATCATATCAGAAAATCTCAAAGTCTAGTCAGCGCCGAATTATTTGGTATTCTATGGGTAGTCCTATGATGATAAAGGAATTTGAAGGAGTATTCAACAAATATATTGGAATCGGAAACGCACCTAAATGCCGAACCAATCTGGAGTTATGATGCTCTACAAATTTTCAAAAAAAATAATTTAGATTTGAAAAAAAGCTGTTTTTAAATCTAATCTGCTGTGTTTGGTGTCACGGTGTGAAGTTTTCATGGTTCTATTACTTTTCACGATGCAATCTATTCAGAACCATGTTCAAAAATGTAGGTCCTCCAATTCTCAAAGGTATTTTACTTTTTGTTGCGTTACAAACTCATGATGATCTTAATTAGATATTAGAACATAGAATATCCATCAGACACAATTTGTATCATTCAAATCAGGTGCAGTACTTTAATCTCTCATTATTAATTTTTCTCACAGTGCCTTCCAAGAGGCGGAAAGGTCGCCCGCCCGGGACGCACTCACACTGCGGAGGATCACAGGGTACAGGGGGCGGTGAGGATGATGAAGACTCCATATGGGGATCCTCGCGATCCCTTGCAGATCAGCTCAAAGCATCATCCATTTACAATCGGACTGTCACCGAAGCCCCTGCAGAGGTAAGTCACCATGTTTTCATGTCTCTAATCTTTTTTTGATTTTAAGCATTTTAAGGGAATTTTTTTTCTCATTTTTGCGGAAGATTCAGAAGTGCTATTCTTCCAGACTTAAAAATTCTAGAAGCCGTCATGAATAGCGGATACTATTTTCTTAGTTTCTTACAATTTTTCAATTTAATCAGTGAGAATTAAAACACACCAACTAGGAAAAATGTAAATGTTCAAGAGACATAAAAACCTGCGCAGTAGGTGAAGAAGTTTGTTCAAGAAAAACTTTTTGGTGGCGGAAGACTATTACTGTGAGATACTTTGAAGGCCCAAGTTGACATAGGTAGATGCGCCATCTTCAGTGGCTTATATTAAAATGAGACATCTCCATGAAATTTGGGCATTTTTTAAGAATGTGAGTTAGTTTGTTTTCATTCTCACAGATTTAATTGCCATTAGATTTTTTACACCAGTCTTTTGGGACGTAGAATTTTTAATTTTGCACTCTTTCATGATGCATCTGCCCATAGGTGCCTCATTATAATTTTGCAGAAAAAGGTAATTGGGCTGGTGAAGTGCAATAATTAGGCTTAGCGTGATGTCAGGCTTAATAAGAAGCTAAAATTTGTCAAAAGCAGTTTATTCTCATCAATTTAAATAGTAAACTAACAAAGAGCTCATCTGGGAATATATTTCCCGTCTATATTTTAGACTCAAATAGCATCCCAGTATTTTTTTAAATCTCACCACATTAAGTAGGGTTGGGTCGAATCCCAAATTTTAACTCTCAAATCCTTGAATCCGAATCCTTTGTGTATCTGTCACTTTTCAGAAACTCAGTACTTTTTTTTATTTATTTATTTTTTTTTTAAATTTTAATCCTGGTTGCGATATCTCGCACAGCGAATATTTATACCAATATTTACTGTCCAAGAGCATTTTGGGATGAGTCGAAATTTGAGATCGGTGAGATCGAGAGACGATATCGATATTCGACGTGATTTGAGAACCTCCGGGAATCTTCAGGATCTGGCTTCATGGCGCAAATTTTGAAATTTTGGAGGATTCGCGCATTCGGACTTGGGTTTGAGCATTTTGACACCGAATCCTAAATCCGAATCTAAGTCCCAACACTAACATGAAGCAATTCGAAGTTGGGCAGCTTCAATTGATTACATTGCCACGAAAATAGGACTTTCATCAGAACTCAGATTTGAATTGTAGGAGCTTACGATTTCATATTCTTTTGTACTTCTATAGGCAGCCAGTATTGTTCAGTTTCTTCATGTGTTATGTTTTTTTCTCATCCGCAGTTGTTCCGAAAAGACTTAATTAGTGCAATGAAATTACCGGACTCTGAGCCACTTGCGGCGGATGAGTACTGGATGATAACAGATCAATGGAAGCAAGAATGGGAACGTGGTGTTCAAGTTCCTGTCAATCCAGATTCTCTTCCTGGACCATCAGTCACCGTTGTCTCTCATCGACCAGCACACCGGCATGCCGAATTCAAATTGTAAGCCAGCTTCCATATTTTTGCCTACTTTGAGTGTTTCCATTTATTTGCATGGAAAGGTCGTCAAAAATCTATTATCATCGACCATTAATATCTTGTGCACTAATGTTATGTGTCAGTTTCATTTAGTAGATTCTTGCCAAGACATTGGTAAGATAGCTCTTAATAAACTTCGGCATCTTATCTCGAGGTTCTCTTAATAACAGTAGTGAACCGCTCAGGTGACTCAGTATTAAATATCTTAAATAAAACAAGTATTATTTCTCATGTAGCTTTTACTTGGGAGGGGCTGGAGCAAATTTAAATGAAGGAGACTGAAAAACCGAAGAATATATCGATGTAATACTAAATGGACTGTTACTTTCTCTGTTAACAATTTAACAGCAATTGTCGAATGACGAAGCATCTAAATCAGTTGATTAATAGTTTATCCTGATGAATTCGCTCATGGGGGAGAAAACGATTTTTAAAACTTTTTTGGAAAAACCTTGATTTACACATCTTTGTTGACTTTCGCCAAAATCCGTAGAATAGAATGAGTGGATTCCACTGTTAAACGCATTGACTGTCGGTCCTGTAGAAACCAATAATTCAAGGTTCCTCTGTAAATGCTCTCTCTCTTTGCAGTGCCAACTGTGACTCCTTAAGAAGCAGTCAGCTTTGTGAATTTCGCTGGGTTTCTCCTCTCTTTGCAGAAGGCATAACCTAATAGTGACTACGCACCATTCTCAGTAACGGGTCTGTCAAGCATGAAATATTGCACAGAAATACTGCCATGTCCTCTGCTTCTTCGCCTCAGTAGATTGTTTAATCAATTGTTGTTTTTACTTGTTTCAGGCCAAAAAACAAATACATCCATATCCATAAAACCGAGCATTTTACACCCGATGAATTTGTGCTATCAAATATGCCAGCCAAAGCAGAAAAAGCCATTTTGTATGATTTAGATGACTGTGATGTTGCATGGCTCAATATCTACAACGGAGAACGTGCTGGCATGGGTAAGAATCATAACTTCATCTCTCAATTTTCAGTCTAGCCGTTAACTTTTCGGTAGATCTTCATAAGCTATCTGACTCAATTCAGCATTTCAGGAATTTTAAATCTACTTACGCAAGGTATCAGGCCATTTGCTCTTCTGAAACGAAAGTTGAGGGACAAACTTTAATGTTCCCTGGCCTAACAGAAAGTTGAAGGGGTGAAAGACTGGTGGGATGTAATTTTACTTACTTTTTTTAGGTTGACTATTTACATCTGATCACTCAATATTCGGAACAGTCCCAGACTGACGCCATTTTGATGAATTTTTTCATTGCCGAATCTCTGGCAGTGATCACAAACAATGAAACTCAAGATTTATGACCTGTTGTGCTAGGCTGTATAGAAAAATTTAATATCTATAAGGGGAAGTCAGTTATCTGAAGAGTTAAAACAAGTAAAATGCAGAAACAGATGAAACATTATTGAAACAGGTGGAAAAAAAAAATTAGAAGAAGAATTAAAACTTGAAAAGAAGGTATATGTCACTTCAAGTTGCATTATTTTTTCTTGAAAATGACTTATCTAAAATACTCAGTTTAGTCTGCAATAACTCTGAGAGGCATAGTCACTGCACTTCCTATAGATGTAGACAAAAATGTTTTATTCTTTCATTACAGCAATTAGTTTGTGAAATTTTCGTGCCCTTATATTGATAATTGTTGTTTCTTAGGTCAACAACCCATCAATGAAAGTCAACTTGAGGCTGTGATCGAAGAATTGGAGGTTCGATGTTGGGACAAAGTGCAAACTATTGTGAAAGAAGAAGAAGGTCTAGGGATTGAATTCGACGAAAATGTCATCTGTGATGTTTGTAGATCGGTAAGTGATTTTTCGTTATATTTTCTCTTTATGATACTCTTTTTTTTATCAGCTTTTTTGTGAGAGTAGTAAGCTTTTTGTATCAACAGTGTTCGGCTGCCTTCTACTTTGTATCTATAGTATCAAAACGGTGTCATACTCTCAAAGAAGGAGCAGCAGTTATTTATAGGGTTTTTTGAAATCACAGTACCAGTCATCAAAGTTTTTGAATTCGCCATGTACAGTAGAAAAGGCACGGAAGCAGGTTCTCTTCAGTTTTGTTATTTAATCTAACAAAGTGCAGTAAAACTTAGATCCAACAAATATCAACATATTGACACACTTGGCAACAAGCGTTTAAGGGCAGTGGTTCAACCATTGAAATTGATAGACAAAGTATCAGACGAAAGAGAAATGTAGAGCTTGTGTTGGTGAAAGCAGGTGGTTGCAATGAACTAAGGTACGTAATAGACCAACTGGATCGCTTGTAGCGAAAAGGAACCAGCGCAATTACAGTGTTTTCAAAATCAAGCGGCTTCTTCTTCCCGTTAAAAGATACTTAATGTATGTATAGTATTAAAATTTACTTAATATTCCTTAAAATTAACTATTTTTTGGTTAGTAGCAAATACTATTTGCTATTCAGAGATATTAATTATAATGGAGCAACATTTTTAGAGCACTATAATCGCGCTAGTTCCTTTTTTCTAAATGAAATCCAACTAATAGCAACTCACAAGTGACCTCACAGTTAGTCCATCATTCCTCCTTTCACAGTCACAGTCCTTTGCTCATTGCAACCTCCCCACCAACCAACAGGGTTGCTCTATTTTCCTTTTGTCTTTATTGTAAATCGTTTCCTACGAACTGCACTCATGTGGACAAGGCTTTAAAAATAAAACTCCTGGAATGGTTGTAAGCTCCTCAATGCCAGTCCCTTATCTTTTATTTTTCTGTATATCATAGTTAATGAAATATTGCAAAATTTTACGATGGGATGTTGAGGATGTGAAGCTTTAATTCTGAAATTATTTTTTCTTTTTCCAGCCGGACTCAGAGGAAGGGAATGAAATGGTGTTCTGCGACATGTGTAATATTTGTGTTCATCAAGCTTGTTATGGCATAATGTCGATTCCGTCTGGCCAATGGCTATGCCGCACTTGCCATCTGGGTATCCGCCCTGAGTGTGTTCTGTGTCCGAATAAAGGAGGGGCAATGAAGTGTACTCGCTCTGGCCAGCGGTGGGCCCACGTCTCTTGTGCTCTTTGGATACCCGAAGTCAGTATCGGCTGTGTTGAAAAGATGGAACCCATTACGAAAATCTCAAGCATTCCGGTAAATATAAACCTACTTTATTCCTCCAGTCAAGTGAAGGGCTTGGAGGACAAGGTGCATAAGTGCAGTTTTTGCTATTTCGAGAAATATGTGTTTGAAGTTTAGAAATTACGTAGATCTTTATGGCAGAAAGAGAGTTCAAACTGTCTGCTTGATACTTAAAAACTGAAATTTGGGAGCGAATTTTTCACAGGATATGTATTAAGACTAGTTTTACTCAAAATCATTAATATCTCAAATTTTTCAAAAATTGCAACTATGCGCCTTGTCCTTCAAGCCCCTCAAATCATCCAGAAACCGTAGTTTGATGAGAAGATAGGTGGCAACAGTCAGGGTTCTGAATGAGTTAAGGGTTTAGCAACACCACAATTGATATGTGTCTTGATTGGGTATGGCCAAGGTGTTGTGCAATGATAACTATCACTTCTGTTCCTTATCACAGTCATTTGTCTCAATCATAGAGTACAAGTCTTAATTTTTATGAATATGGGATTTTCTAGTTAGTTCGCCATGGGTACACCCATCAAGGTTCACTTGGAAAATTCAAGGAATTTAAGAGATCCTAGAATGTCAAGAAAAGTCAGGGAATTTTGCCGATTGTGAAGGAATTTTTTAGTCCGAGAAAAGACGGCTGTAAACGGTTGTGTTGCTCAGCTGTTTATCATCATTACCAAACATTTAAGAACATTCTATATTCTACATTCCAGAACTTCTTTATTTTTATTCTATTTTCATCTTGCTACTTTGGAAAGAAGCAAGGATAAAGTCTTAAAATATTAGATTTTTTTGTGAATTATCAAGAAAAAATCCAAATTGTTTCTTAGGAGCGCATAATTGCCACCCCTACAAATGTATCATGAAACAGATCTCACACCATGAATGTCTTTTGTGTCAGTTATCAGTTTTATCTGTGTATTGTAGAGATGGAGGTATCTTATTCACTCTACACTTTTTTATAACCCTCTGGAGAGTCCCATTTAATGGTCCGTTTTCATTGTTTTTGCAGCAAAGTCGTTGGGCGCTAATATGTGTGTTGTGTCGGGAGCGAGTGGGTGCGTGTATCCAGTGTTCAGTCAAAACGTGCAAAATTGCATATCATGTCACATGCGCCTTCAAACATGGTCTTGAGATGAAAGCCATCATCGAAGATGAAAGTGCAGATGATGGTGTGAAGCTAAGAGTAAGTTTATTTTTCTTTCAAAATTTTATCCTCACAGATAAAATTTGTGTCATTGATTGGAATTTTTGATACCAAGCACACTACATCATAAAATCCATAGAGTACATAGAGTTGTGGTGTTAATGGGAGAGCTGGCGCCACTTCTAAGCATTTTCCAAGTCCCAAATTCGGAGACTCCTGTGTCATGCCTGGTCACTTTTTCGATACATAATCGATTGCTTTCGATATACGCGGACCTGGCCATCCAATGCAAACAAAGAAGATAAGAATTGCTAAGTATTCCACCCTGCCATTTTGGATAAAAAATGTGTCGAAAAAGTGACCGGAGCTCGGCGCACACTGGGCTGGAAACTCGTCCACCAGAACATGTCGCCAGCTTTGCCATTCACATTATGACTCTATGTACTCTATGATAAAAACATAAAATATAAAAATATTTGAAATATCTGTCAAATTTAAGAATCTATCAGCTAAATAATGGTCCCCTTTTTTTTCTTTTCTTGAAGAATACTATCAGATTTTGTTGATCAGTGTCTGCTTTATTGAAAATTTTCCTAAAACATAAAAATTATTTAACTCAACTCTAATCAGTTCAACCAAGTCGAAAAATCAGGAATATTTTCCCTTTTTGTCTGGTAAATATCAAGGAATTATTTTTTTTGTCTGTCAGGGAACTTTAATTTTTTAGCGGACGCAGAAATTTGGGAACTTTCTCTGTAACAGGGAGATGTAAGGATCTAGCCTAGTTGATTGTCTAGGCATTGCGTCTTCAGAAGCTTGAATGTAATAACTGTATTTTCATCCTGGCTATTGCAGCGGTACAAGTCTTGAAGGTCCCATTTATGATGAATTTGCATTTGAAAACTGTTGCTGTAATATTACGTCAAAAATAAGGAGAACTTCAATAACCGGTTTTCTTTTCTTTCCAGTCTTATTGTCAAAAACACAGTGTCACCAGCAAAAGAGATAAGTGCGGCTCAGCATCTGAAGATGATGACACCAAACGGAAGCGCAGAAAAGATATGACCTCAGAGGAGAAAAATTTAGCCCGACAAGCCAAGTAAGTACTGTTCTGAGTTATTCATTTCTTTTAACAAATTAATTTTCCCTATGTATGAAGAAACATTTTTATCAGTTTAAAAACACACTATATCCTCATTTTATGAATAAATAAATTAATTATTAAAGTGATCATGCATATTTGAAAGCCTCGAGGGGCTGTAGTACAAGTCGACACAGGAAAAAAAACAAACAAATAAAAAAGTATGAAATTATGACAAGAGAATTGCAGAGAACAAGCAAAGAAAAGAAAGTCAAAGATTGGAGGCTGGCGGACAGCTATTCAGTCCCAAAAGAGGCACTATTTAAACCCTCCAACTGGCCATCAATAGATTTTAAGGCTTTAGAAAGAAGAAACTTTGGAGGTTGCCCAGGAAAACAGTTAATTTCTCTTCTCAAAAGAGAATTTTAATTTCCTATCGGAGGGCGTCTCACACTTGGATTGACGAGAACTTTACGTGATGCATTGTAATTGACAGACGAACTTCACCATTTTTAATGCCCTGTGCCTGCTGTTGTTTTTTGTTGATTTTTTTACAAAGTTTGCACACAGTGAAATTTTCCTTGCAATGAAGCTCTACTTTGTATCAGTCCAGAGAGGTGACAGGCAGAGATAATAAAAGTTATCTGATTTTTTTCATTTGGAAAAGAGAATGCACCGAGTAGTTATTAGGTTTTTCTTACTCCAAAAATAGTGGAGTGATTTTTCTTTCCTTTTTTCTCTAAGTCAAGGAATTTTGATTTTTGAGATCATTCGCCACCCTATAGCCAAGCTCATCTTACTTATGAAAAAAAAAGCAAAACCATGTATCTTTGGTTGCAACATTGCAAACTTCCTGTCATAATTTAATTTTTCTCTGGAAAACTTATCAGTCCTTGGAAACTTCTTTGATTTTTCCTTCTCGTCAACAGAATATTCCGTACAAAATTGAAGCTATAAAGTTGGCTGGTTTCTCCTCAAAACAATAAAGTAGATGCAAAAATTTTGAGACATTGCAACTGAGGTACTTGGTTTCGCATTTTGGACATCAACATTTAGGTTGTTAAGATCTTAAGGCTTCCTCTAAAGTAAAATTAAAATCAAAAGGATTAATAAGAGAGAAATCTGTATGAGTTTGCAACCTACGTTGCGGTAGCTAATCAGAAGATCAATTTAGTGATTATAGATTGCTAAATTTGTATTTGAAGAGAAAACAGATAATTGCAAGGAATTTAAAAAAATAAATTTAGCTATAAAGTGTATTTAGTCCACCCATTCTTGACCGCTTGATTTATTTCCACAGGCTTCAAGAAATTGAAGCGGAGTTTGAAAAGCACGTTAGTCCCAAAGATGTTGCCAAAAGACACGAAGTCGATTCGGACGGAGTGAATTTCATCTACAATTATTGGGTAATGAAACGTCGCGCTGGAGGCAATAGACCGCTATTAGCACCTAAATCTGATGATGTCGAGATTTTGGCACGGCAGCAAGAGCAAGCCGACATGGAAAAGATGAAAAACTTTGTGCAATTACGTCAGGATTTGGAAAGAGTAAGTTATTTTGATCTATTTATTGTACTATTTTGAATAGATAAGCCTTGCATTATCTCAAAGTAGCTAAAATTTTGATTTGAAACCTTACTATTTTTTTTTTTTTTTTTTGAAAGTACTATTATTATCATTCTTTTGAGTTTCTCACTGGCTTGAATTCTCCATCTCTCACTGTCGCACATGTAGTTTTCTACAGTTCTTTTCACAAAAACTGGGATTGTTAATATATTGAGGTGACCCTTTTTCTCAAAAATGAATTTCGGAGGTATTGATTAATCAACTTACAGGGCGTCTTCAGGTCTTGAAAACCAGAAATAGTCAGGGAATTTCAGCAGGTTAGAGAAATTGGAGAAAAGTCAGGGAATCCTACAATTAAATCTATTTGAAAAATTATTACCTGATGAAAAAATAGCTACAGCCGAAATTTTCCCCCTGGAATTTTGAAATTTTCAGATAATTTAGATTAAATTGCGTACAAAACCGTCCAAAAATTTGGAGGAAAAATATTCACATATTTTTTTTTAAAAAATTCGTATCTTATCAAAGGGAATTTGGCAACGCCTGAAGGTTTATACAGCGCTTTTCCGAAGCACGGCTGTATTCTCTAATGTTTGAGTTGCGTTTTTGTATCTCTTTGAATTTGAAACAATTATTTTTCCCTTCAAATATTTTGTGTTTAGAACATACAACTGTAAGCAAATCTATTATGTCAAATTTCAAATTTTTAAAAAGATGTCTGTTACTGTATATTTTAATACTGTGCAAGTCTGCATGGTCTGTTTTTTCTGTCATGGATCAGTAAGATGCCTTTGGCCTTCAGCAAAATATCCATTAAGCAACCAGTGGAAATCCCAGGGGTGCATGAACTCCTTGATAATGCTTCCAGCTTGTCAAGATCAGTTGAGTGAGAAAATAGGAAGGCTCCAAAACAAAAAGCAGGGTTTAAAAATGAGGAGACTGTTAGCATAAAAATTGTGTATTATCCTAAAGAATAGAGTTGAAAATCTTTTGTTTTTCTGCCAAACTGGGGCAATTTTTACATAACGAGCAAAAAAATGCCACATTTTTTAAACTTTTGAGAAAAGAGAGGTTTTTCAGAAGGCTGAGAACTTCCTGCATCCCTGGGAAGCCCTTCCCCTCTTACCTCCTTTTGCTTTTGTTCTTAATTTTCCGTTTTATGTTTGTTTAATTGTTTTTTTTTCTTTGCATGTAGGAACGCAAACAAATTCCCAAATCACGCTTTGATATGCGAAAGTTGAGAGTCTCCCTACTACGAATTTGATGAACTCATATTTTCTAAAGAAAAAAAATGAATGAAGATAAGAGTTGAATTCCCATCTAAACAAGAAAATCGTCACATATTCGATTTAAAAATATTTTAACCTATTTTTTTTAGTATTTAATGGTTTCAAAATTTTAACCAGCAAATCAATTGTTAAATTGAAAGCGTAAAGTAATCTGATCGTTAATAAATACTATTGACCCTCCTATGTCCCTAACTGCTGTCTTTAGTTCTTTTAGCACAAATCCCACCTTGAAGAAGAAAATAGCCCCTTGCTTGAAAACTGTACGGAGAAAGAGAAATATTAAGTGCCTCCGAAAAAAAGGTTTATTTAAGAAAATGAAGAGAGAAAGTCTTAGCTGCAAAATTGAAAATAAGACTAAAACAAGCCTGAGAATTCTTTAATTTAGTGACTTAAAGACTTTATTTTTGCCTGTGGGGTTTAAATTAATTTTTCTTTTCTTGGTACATGATTTTACCCATAGACCCCTGAACAGAATTTTTATCAGTGTCCTGTTTTTTTTGGTAAAGATATGTGTCCTCATAGTGTCAGTATTTTCATACGTAGAGAGTTCATGGTATTTTATTTTATTTTATTTACTTCTCTCCCTTGAAAATGAAAAGAACGAAGCAAGTCATGTGACAGAACAGGGGTGTCAAAAATTCCAGTATGTCAAGACAGTTATTATTATGTGGTGATTTGGCCTCATACCCAAATTTCCCATCTGCCACATTAAACAGTGTCTACTTTAATGGCAAAAGGCCCGACTTCACGTTTGCATTTTGCAATGTTTGTTGTGATATTAGTAATTTGCCCCACTTCTCAAAGTAACAAGCCAAAAAAATTGATTGAAAAACCCTTACAAGTATTTTTTGTAATGCCATAACATTTTATTTTTGGTAGCAGGCCACCACTAAGAACTGTTTATCTCCAGTTAAAGACCAAATAATGGTAACTACGTTTTTACTGATTAAAGAAAGCAGGGAAACTGTGTGACAGCTCCATTACCTTAAATGTATTTCGCTAATTCAAAAACCCCGAACGTTGAGGCTGGTGTTAGATGTCTTAACTCATTTCTTTGCACGTACCCTCACACTGAGAATGACAGTCACAGTGCAATTGAGAACGCAAATATCTCGATTTTTCTAAAAATGCTAATCACGTTTCTTTGGCTTTTTACTACGGATATAAGCTAGACTCAGAGATTTCTGATAATGATTGCTCTTAAATTTGGGAGGAATATTTCAGTAGCTTCAAATTGTTTCTCCTGAAACTCCCTTTTTCTTTTTCTTTTAATCCTCAAATGATTTAAGTGACCAACTAAGGCTAAAATTGTCTCATTGAATGTACTCTGCTGTTGTTTTTCCTTTGAAATGAAGTATCTAAACAAATTTGAAACAAAACCTTGCCAAATGTGCCAATGTTGCCATCCCCGAGTGAGTTTGTGGTTAGTATAATTTTTAACAGACTCGTAAGTATATCTGCAGATAAAATAACGTGAATTCTGTGTACCTCTCTAAAATTGAGCTGTACAACATGAGTAAAAGCCATAAGACTAAAGCACACACATATACCACAATATCCACAAATCAGTTCTAAGAGTTATAGATTTTGGGCGAGTAATAACCCAAGGCGACTTCATTAATCAGTCTTAAGTGAAAGATCGCAAGGAATGAATTTCTTACAACTAATATTTTAAAACACCAAACATTGCAAGTTTGTTTTTGATTAGTTCAGGATTTGACTTTTGTAGTAACCTAGAATGAAAAATGAAGAAAAAATGTAATGAGAGTATATCAGCATTTAATTTTTGGATGAGTGAAGAATTCGGTGGATTTTTGTGGTTTCACAATTCGATAAGTTTCTGCTGAAAATAGGAGAGAGTCTAAAATCGAGATAAATGTTCAAAAGCGCAGTCAACGTTAGGTATGAAATTGATGAAATGTTTTAAGAGCATTTTTTCTTATATCTCTCAAGTCATTTGAAGGTCAACTTTTTTTCTCTGATAAAGTTTTGGAAAGCTTGAACTGAGATTTTCATCTTTTTTTTTTGTTTGATGAAGCAAGTCAGGTTTGATCTCTTGATTGGAAAAGAACCTGTTTTAAATTTTGAAATTTATTCTACCAGATGTTTTTTTTTTTTTTTTTTTTTTTTTTTTTTTTATCATCAAACGGAATCAATTTAATTATGTTTGTGTTTATTTTTGCAGGTACGCAACCTTTGTTACATGGTGGAGAGGCGAGAGAAACTTTCCCGCTCATTCCTAAAGTTGCGTGAGCAGACCTTCTTGAAGCAAGTTGCAGTGCTGAGTGAAGCAAGGACGAGTATAAGCAGCACAGAGCTAACTGCGATCAAGGAGGCGAACCATGGGCCCTCCATTTATGACCGCTTGTACTCGCATCCTGCGGCTCCAGATCTGAGCACAGATTTCGAGACGATGTTGACAAGGATTTGCGGCATGGCCTCTCCAACTCCTGAAGATAAAGCTAAGTTAGATCTGAACGGTTTCTTCCGTAATAATAATAAAGATAATCCATACAAAAGAATGTATTTCAATGGGGGTGTCGTTCGTAGTAGGCGTAGTAGTATTTACGGTGGAATATCTAGCAATAGTGACACCGACACAAAACCAAAAATCAAAGAGGAAGAAAGTGCATTGTCCAGTATGGACGAACGACCATCATCAAAATTAGGTTACGACAGAATTGGAGTCAAAGGTAAGAAACGGCCAAAGAAAAGAGAGTTGAAGTCCACGAAGGATCCAAACTCATCTACCGATGATGAAGAACCGAAATCTAGTTGGGAAAAATCAAGGGCTTCCCGTAAAATCGATAAAGATGACCGAACAGGAAGTGAAGATAGTGAAGGTTTGTTTGAGAGTTTCCCAAAGTACGAACATACGAAGCTTTCAACATCAATTTACTCGTCAGATTCGGATTCTGAGTCCTCGGCTAAAGAAGAAACCAGTGACGCACACCAATCTATCCGTACGAAAGCAGCAATGAAAGAATTTATTCCGGATGAGGCCAAATCCAAGAAATCTTCGTCGAAGCCTGTCTCAACGAAGAGAGTCAACTCTATAGACGATGAATTCGTGAGAGATAAAGAAAACATCAAAAGTAATAAAAAGAAGAAAGAAACCTCAGGTGCCCCATCTGACCTTATCGTTCCACAAAGGCAAGCAGCCAAGAAAGCGACGGAAAGTATCCACCGCTCTCAAGGTAGGCCAAAATTGGAGCAAAATGCTCTCGATATCAATGAGATTTCGCGTAAATCACCGGTGGTGGAAGAAATTCCCAGTAAAAGTAAACACCAGAAAAAGGATATGTCCAAATTCAAATCCAAAATTCCGAAAGATAAGGATCTAAAAACTAGTAATGATGTTTATGAGTTTGAAAAAGAACTAGGTGATGGCCAAGAAATATTAGCATATGTTCCTCAGAGACAAGCTGCAAAGAAAGCAGCTGAGCACATAAAACAAAGTCATGGAACAGTGCCCAAGCCAGCTGAATTAGAAGCAGATCAGCGTCTAAAATCCAAGGATGTGGACATCAAGAAAGAAATTAAAAAGGATATAGATGTAAAGAACAAAAAGGATGTCGATTCGGAGAAAGATAAATTGCGAAAACCGGTGAAGGCGGCGCCGGAACAGAAAGGATTGCGAATATCGAAATCTAGTTCTTCCTCTTCGTCTAGTTCATCTTGTAGTGGGTCTTCGAGTTCATCTTCTGGTTCATCGTCCTCTTCTAGTTCTGAGAGCGAAGACGCAGGCCCAGCATCGAGAGTTTCCTTAAGAGAGGCTCCTGATAAGAAGAAAGCAGGAGTGGTAGAAAAGAGCCTAGTGAAAAAGCACGAAGACTTGCCCTTTCTCAACAAGGGAAAACAGTCGGTGCATTTCAGTAGCTCGTCCAGTAGTTCTGAGTCTGAAAACAGTAGTCCCGAAAGGTCTTCGTCCTCAAAGTCCAAACCGGTTAAGAACTCGGAGCTCAAGCGGAGTGGTTCCTTTCAGAAATTGGAGGTTGACAAGAAACTCAAGAGGCCGTCAGATAAGAAGCTTAAAACTTCCGACGGGCGGCCTGAACTTGAGTATCAGCAGCCGCCTATTACGAGAGAGGAATCATCCGGAACCAAAGATAAATCTAGACTTAGGAGGAAGAGTAGCAGTGATAGACTCAGCGATACTGAAACCAAACATGGAGATTCTGTTGGCAAAACCGCTCCTTCCAAACATGTGTCCAACAAGGCGGATATCAGCGCTAAACACCGAAGTCGAAAACAGAGTCCTCCGAGGAAGAGCCCTATTAGAAAAAGTTCTCCCAAAAGAGAAAGCTCTCCGTCAGAATCAGGGTCAGGCTCGAGTCCACCAAGAAAACAAAGTCCTTCCAGGAAATCTAGTCCTTCGAGGAAGTCGGCTCCAGCAAGGAAAAGCCCTGGACGTAAGCAAAGTCCTAGCTTTAAACAAGATGGAAGAAAGAGAAAATCGAATGAATTCGAAAAGGACCAATCGGATTCTTCCTCCTCCTCTGACTCTGAGAAAAGATCTCCGCCAGAAAAGGTTAAGTCCGTTTACCAGTCCAGTCCTGAGACCAAGAAAGTTCCAAAAAAGATAAATGAAAGTAAATCGATCAGCGAGAGAACGCCTAGCAATAAACTGTCAGATAGCAAACTGAGAAAAGATGATCCGAACCTGAAAAACACGCATCGTAAATATGTTGACAGATTGAGTGAAAAGCGAGAAAAGATTTTACATCGCAAGTCTAGTAAGGATGAATTGGAGGATAAATCACCTTCCAGAAGTTCTGTCAAGTACTCAGGAAGAAGTGTTACATCACCCATCCCCATAGATAATGACGAAAACATTTCTCCCATGGAGACTGAAAACCATCGAATATCTGGAGATGCCCATGTTCCTCTTGAATATAGGTTGTCTAATAGCTTGAGTGAAACTCCAAACGCTAGTCATAAAGAATCTAATTCCGTAGCCAATGATCAAATTAGAATATCGAAACCTTTGCCTAATTGCAAGAAAAAAGATGATAGTGAAAGAGATGTTGATGCAGCTCTGGATGACAAACGCTTTTCTAGTGATAAAAATAGTGAATTAAATTCAATATCGAATGATAGGAATAGTAATTGTGTGATGTCTATAGATGAATCTAGAGACAAGTCAAATATTTCGATCTCATTAGACAAGTCAAACAGCAAAGAGGTAAATACTCATGAAGATGTTGCGGCGAAAAGAACATCCAGAACACACTCCTCATCATCTTACGGTCATCATAGGTCCATTTTCTCTCCGCAGGCATCTTCCAAAGAAGGTGCTACAGCTGATGATGATTTGTTTGCTGATTTCAGCAACGATATTTTAGCTGTTGATGAAACGGTGCATGATGACGGCTTCAGCATACCCCGTGATTCAGAGGAGTCGATGCGTGCTCACCCGTTCTCATTCGGCAATGAACTCCTGTTCAAGCCTGACTTAAAAGAAGATAGTGCTCAAGAAACTCTTAATTTAGTAGAAAAATTACGATTAGATTATGCTAAGAAAAATTCCAGTTCCTGTGATCCGCCTGAAACCCCATTATCTCGAGAACCTTCTTCACCTGCGTCATCCATTCTGTCTAAAGCTGTTGAAGAACCAGTTCCTAGTGATCCTGTGATAGACTTGAAACCTGTGGAAGCATCACATCTAGGGCAAGAAGCGATGTTGTCAGATTCACTCACTTCAGCACCATCATCACTTCCCGAGGCGCAAATTATAGATCAAGGCTCTGCAGCACACACTGCTTATGCTGTTTCCATGCTGCCTAGCTCAACCGCATCCTCTGCCCATCCACTTTCATCGGGAGTTCATCTAACTCCTTCTCTACCTTTATCTTCAATCACCTCATCTCCTTCCACTCCAGGCGCGATGACATCTTCTCAAATGGCACCGTGTTCCATGACTTCCCCTGCTGCCATGACAACAGTTACTCCTACTATTCCTTCTACGATGAGTCCTTCCATAGTCCCTGCATCACATGCTCCCTCAAAACTGGCAACTACCCCGGTCTCAATGCCTCCTGGACCCAATGCCTCGCAGCTAGTGGCTCCGTTTGACCCTGCCTCAGCCATCCCGCAGTTGACGGTGCCTTCATCTCATATGCCACCCACATCTGTCATGTCTAGTGAACTACCCCCTTGCTCAATATCCAATGAATCTCTAATTAACGAGTTTGCCGAGCAGGTGAGGTCAGACTTGGCAGGGAAAATGGAACCCAATTTCATGATGCCTGTGCAAGACAATCACAGCATGTCTCAGTATAATATGGAGATGTATGGATTCCAGCAGCCTCCGCCGCCTACCTCAACAGGTATGGACCAGGCGAAGGCACTTCATGAAAACAGTGCCTTACCGCGGACAGAAGAGCAGTGGATGCCAACACCTCAGCAGTACCAGCCATCGCCATCACCGTACATCGATCCTCATGCGGCTAACAAATGGGCTGAAAGTAATCTCATACCCTCGAGGAGATCCTCCACATCCTCATCAAGTTCTGCCGAATCTTCACCTGCTCGAAAAGAGGATGATTCTTTGAAGGAGGTCCCTTCTATTCCACCAGCAGCGCCAGGATTAATGCAAGACTTCACCAACTATCCTGGATTGCAAGCGTATCCTCATTGCTCAATGCCAGACAACGTCACTGCGTATCATCCTTTCTCGGAAGCAAACTCCTTCCCAGGCCAAGTCTCTATGTACCCTCCAAATACATCTTTGCCTTATACAACCTCTGCAATGTCTGCCATATATCCGTCAAATTACTCAGCACCCTATCCACCATCTCATTCTGTTGCGACACAAGACAATTCACTAATCATGCCGCCCCAAATGCCTGCTGCTTTTACTGCTTCGTCGCATAATATGGCACTGACAGCAGCCATGGTGTCACCGATACCATCTGTGGCTCCTCAGGAACGTTCTATAACTCCAGTATCGTTCCCAGAGCCAGTACCTGTCCAATCTCAGCCTAACTCAGTGCTGAACGAGCCAATGACTGCTTCACCGGCATCAAATAGTGAGTCCTTCTCAACACAGCCTCCAACTCCTATTACAGCAGAACCATCCCCAACGCCCTCAGTCAAAAGCTTTCCTGGTAAAAAGTCTCCAACAAAGCCAACACGAGTTTCAGCACGTGTCTTGTCACAGCAGAAGTCACCAGGAAAATCACCTGGAACACCTGGGAAGTCGCCAAGACAAATTGAACCACCGAAACCTATTGCAAGAGCCCGAGAAGCAACTAAGAAAACCAAAGGTGCAGGGAGAGGGCAAAATCGTACCCCACGAGGCCGCGGTAGAGGCCGAGGTAAAAACCAAATGTTTGACGATAATACAATACACAGTAAACTGGTTGGTACTGTTTATGAGTTTGATTTTGATGAGGATAGTCCTTCAGAAAGCGTTGAAAACCTCCGCTCGATGCGAGAAAGGCGGAAATCAAGTGACGTTCATGAAAGGAAATCGTCTGATAGCTCTTTTATTTCCAAAGATTCATCGCAGTCGCCCAAATTTGCAAGCCCAGTTCATGTGCAAAACTCAAGCAAACGCTCTACAACTTATTCTTCTAGTGTTCGGGAATTACGACCGCCCTCACCAGTTTCAGAAGAGCCGCCAAGCAATTCTGTTGAGGATGGGCCAGTCGTACAAGAGCCTAAATTAGCTCCATTTCAAGATGTTGAGCCTCTCTTACCTGGCCCTGTTGACATGCGAACTTATAGTGCTCCATATAATGCATCCTCTAATTCAACCATCAATTCATATCATGATAACCTTATCAGCGGTTTTTCAACATCAGCAGCTGAACATGTACCTGATTTGGTGGATGAATTTGAGAAATTTGAAGAATACAGCTTGACTAAAACTACAACTGATGAGGAGCCTATCGCAAGCAAGAAAACTCCCAAAGAAGTTAAACAAGATGCAAATGATGCTGCCTACAAAATGTCGCTCAGCGACTCTCGTAACCAGCTCAAAGTGAAAATCAAAGGTCCATTCTTAGATGCTAATTATGTAACATCAAATGCAGCTCCTCAGCAACCACCTTTGACACCGTTAGAGGGTGGATCTGCAGCTGCTGCTCCCACTGGCTCCGGAACATCTCATCTTAGAAGAATGCGAAAGAAGGAGCTTTTACAGCAGTATGTCACTGAAGATATGAATACAGTCTCTCCTCCTTCGACAGTGCCACCTACTCGTGTACCAACCACGATTTCAATTCCAAAAGCTGTCAACTCGATGTCAAGTATACCAACAAGGGACGATTACAAAGCAGTTGTTGATGCTAATATGGAGAAGAAAAAGAAGAAAGACAGGTTCTCAGATCTGTCCTTCATTAGCGATGATGACGATAAGTTTGGTGATGACAAACACCCAGTCGTAACCCTATCTCCACTACCCACGACCACACCAAAACTCAAGATCAAAATACGCGAGCCTCAACCCACAGTTGTCAAAACTGAGGACAAAAAGAATTTAAGGCAGCGACCACCAAAGAAGCGTCTGAGCACAACTTCCTCTTCCATTCAACCTCCCCATGACAAATACAAACAAGACGCTATGCTTTATCGACAAAGGATGATGGCTGACTTTGAGGATGAAGAGGAAGAAATTGTTGTTACACGGAAGCCGAAAGAGAAACCAAAGAAAAAAGAAAAAGAGAAGAAGAAAAAGCATCGTTCGAACAACGTTGAGGTAATAGCAGATGAGAAGACACCTAAGATCATTATCAAATTTAAAAAACCAGATGAAAATAGTAACTCAACAGTTGAAGAAACTCTCAATAAAACGAAACTGAATAAGTCATCTGAAGCTTCCTCTGCAAGTAAAACGCGGACTCCTAAAACTACTCCAATCAAGTTGAAACTGTCACGTTGTGAGGAAGGATACGTTATGAAAACGCCTTGTGATAATGGAGCCTCGTCTTTGAACGACTCTGAGTCTTCAGCCAATTCTTTACCTTTGTCCCAAGATTGTCAGGTTAGATAATAGTGAATGAATTTAGGCTTTTTCAACCAAAAGTTAGTTGTAAAGTGTTTGAGAGTTTCTTGATTTCAAGTATCTCACTCTTCTGTTTAGATGTGATCACTAAGTGATTCTTATAAGTGCTCAGCCAATAGCGAGTGCATCTTACTTTCGACTTGTTTTCTTTTCTGTTGACTCCTTTTCTCGTTTTCGACTTCCTCTGTCTCATTGTTTTCTTTTGTTGCCACCTAGTGGTTCCGTAAGTACATGTATAATACTGTAAATACCTTCAACTCCAAATTGCTTTTTAAACTAATTTATTATTGTTTGTTTTCTATTACTATTATTAGATTCTGATGTTTATTCTATCATTTTAAATTTCATTATCCTCTTTTAATTTTATGTTTATTTTTATTTTCCCCCCTTAAATTTATTTATTTATTTTTTGTATTATATTTTGAAAATATCAAGTTTGTATAGTAAAATTATGTTATTAGTCAATATATAAATATGTATCTGCATATACTTTTTTAAAGCTCATTTTTTAATTTCTCTTTGTTTTCTTTTTTTTCTAAATCAGTGAAAAGATGGAATAAAAATTAGCTCTTAAGATGATTTACTTTAATCAGTCAATTATAATTCGGAGGAGGGGAGGCTCATGTTGAGTCAACTACAGTCAGTTCAGACTTGTATATTGGTTGTTTTCGGACTTGTAAAATTGTTGATCTTGAGTCTTATTTGTATTATTTTGCACAAAAAGTTTTGTTAAGTATTTAAAGCCTTAATTCGACTAGCTTGTTGAATGATGTTTTCCACTCCATGAAAACGTTCTAGTTTTATTCGTTGTATCTCAAAAAATTGGATGAGATTCCTTCCAGTAACTGAATCTGGTATAGTCTCTAGGTTCAATGATCCTTCAATATTGCAAATTTAAGTGAACTTACATCTCAGATAGGTTTACCTTCCTCATCCTCATGCGCAGGAAGCATAACTGCCTTCTACGCAGGCGTATGAAAAAGATAAAACAGTCTAAACAGGTTCTAATCATTAATCTCTTATGTGGGTTAGCAATGAAAATTAGCAAATTTTTAACACCGTGCAAATTGTTTTTATAGTGTGTGTGTGTTTGAGCTGTTGTTTTTTTTTTATTTTTTTTTTATTATTTCTGACCAGTTGTGCAAAAAGTATATCCCTGACTGGTAGTTTTTCAATTTTTACTTCTTCTAAACTTCTCTGTTTAAATTAATATTATCTAATGAAGAGGCAAATTGTTGAAAAACTGAAAAAGTTCTACTTAGTTGGTGCTTTGTATTGAATATCTCTATCCATTTCATCCTCAGTCTGTTTTTAAAAGAAAAAAAAAGTTAACTTTATCATGGTATCTTATTGCACATGAACTTTATCTCCATGTATAAGCTATGCACAGATTCGATAATCTGTTTTTAAAGGCTCTTTATGAGTGTGCATGAATTCATGTTGACATTGCGATTCAGTGCATCGATTAGCTATCTACCAGATCTACTTTCCTCCAATCAGCTCAAGTATTAATTGTTAAACGAACCTATCAGGTATTTTAATTATTCATGAGCCAACTGTAAATCAGGTTGTGACATTAGTGCTGACTTGGTCTCTAAGTCTCTTCATGTTCCTTGGATTTTTAGCTTCAAGGAAAAAGATGACGTAATCTGACAATCTTTGGTGAAAATACACATCTTTCAAAGTGAAAGAGCCGTGGTGGAAAATCTTTCAGTGCATGCGAAAATTTGTTTCATCTTTAAGCGTAAAACTGCTAGCTCTAACTTGTCTGACTGCAGATCCTGTAAAAATCCAAGCTTGTTTTATTGGAGAAGCATGTTCTCCCTTTGATGATTCTAAATCCCACCAAAAATTTGATTAATACTTTCCTGCTAATGGAAATGCTAAATTGGCAGAAGTAGAAAAGGCGTTTCTATTCAATTTTCTTTTGCTTGGATGGAATATTTAGTCCCTTTGTTTCATATAAAAAGTTTCGCATTATAACTCCAGACTCATAAGCTTAAGCTCTAATATTTTTGGTATAGCATTATTTAATAATATCCTGTATTCGTTTTTGCATGAGTTATAAAATGGTGTATTCTTGTTTGGTGGGACGCTCTTGCGACAGCAAAGTTAGAATTTCTTCACTCAGTGCTTTTCACATTAAGTTAGTTTTTTTATTACCGGTGTTCCCTGTAGGTTTAAAGCTCAAGTTGATAACTAACTTTGTATGCACAAATGGTAATTGAACTTAGATTTGTTTTAAATTTTGACTAAAGTTTACTGATCAATGAAGTCTTTAAGATAGACAGGGCATAATCAGATTTCTCCAAATGCGAGGAAATCATTGAATTATTATTTGTATGAAATATTCAAATTTTGTCCGTGGAACAATGTTCAGACTCAGCATTAACGTTTTTTCATGTGAAAACGAGCTCCACGAGGAGCTCCAGAAGTTTTTTTAAAAAATTTTCAACTAATTTTACTTGAGCTTTAATTACTTTGTTGAGTAAAGAGCTTATGCATTCTATGATCTTGTCATGAACTAAGTTTGATAACCTAAAAAAGCGTTATCTCAACTAATTTTTATTTTATTTTTCCTACTTATAAAATTTACTTGTTTTATTCGGCCTCCATGTCTCCGTTTTAAGTCTCGTAGTTTATAAGTAATGCCGATTTTTCTTATCCTGTTTGAAGTATATCAGATATAATGAAGTACTTGCATGATTACTGTATTTTTGAGCACTGGTCAGCTGATTCTAAAGAAGATAAAAAAGGGAATATTTACCTAAAGAAAGTTGTAATATCTTAGTTTCAGAAAGTTCCCATCTTTGATAGTTTTATGTACTTTCTTTTTATGACTAAAAGACTACAGTACAGCATAAGTAATGTATGATGGAGTTCAATTAATTTAATCAATTTAATATCGGAAAGAGTAATAAGTTTTGAAGAAAATGCTCATGAATGGATTGACAAAATCCAAAAACAATTAGAAGGAGTTTTTTTTTTTTGATCTGCAGCTTCTCAAAATAATTTTTTCTCTTCTGGAAAAAAAAATGAACAAAATTTCTAACCGTTTAATTACAACTGTTGTGTATCCATTTAACCCATAATGCAGCGTTTTTTAAAACCTTTGTGTTTTGTCCGAATATTATACCTACTTTCAAATTTAATGAAAAAATTCTGCAGTGAAGACAGAAAAACTTCGATGTTGTTAGGAACCTGTATAGCTATCAGGAATCAACAATGAAACTTCCAAACCACTTATCTTGATTTACGATATTGCAGATTTCCTGACGTACTTTATTTTTTAAAGGGAAAATTATTATATGGCATTTCTTATTAACTGCTGTGACTTTTCTTCACTTTGGGCATGAATTTCCGTGAAAACTTCAAGGATTGATGTTGATTTGTTCCTCCTCAAAAAAATAAAATAGGAGCGGATATTTAAAACTCCGCAAACAAGATACGTCGTTTAGGAGTTTCACTGTCGAACTGCTATGCAACCCTGATTGCCCTCTCTTTCTTTTCTTTTTTTAATTCCTTTGCACATGCCAATATTGTCTCTAGCCCCCCTCTTTAAGCTTTCTCCAGATCTATTTATGTCCCTAAGCATGTATCATGCTGGAATGAATCAGTATGTGACCTTTAATCTCAGTCACCTCCTATCTCATGTCGGAGTATTCCAACATGAGATATTTCTTTTGCTCTTGCACAGGATTTACATGCATACAATTATTAGTTTGCAAATACTTTTTAGTTAAAGTCAGTAGCTTTACTGATCTTGAATTCTGAAGGCAACATTTTGTAACACTGTTCTGCGAAGTCCACAGAAATTTTCAAACTGCTCTCTTATTGGTGCTCCCAGATTATCATGTATTTTTCCTTCATCGCTAATGTTACATTTGGGTATCGGAAGGATTTCTCTTTTACTTTTATTCAATAGTTATAAGAATTTTGAAGGAGGGTTGTACTATATTTTTCAATGAAGAACCACAATTTCTGGTTCATTTTGTGAACTGTTGTCCACAAAATTTTTCCTGTGCAGATAGGTGCCTTTATGGTAGCACCAGAAGTAGTAGTTCCTCATCGCAAAATGTGGTTCAACTCCCTAACAGAACGGAAGAAAGATCTCGTAAATGCCTTGGAAAGCGGCAAAGTATACTGAGGATAATACTAGATTAGGTTTATCACCATCTGTTTCATTCATCGTGTTCTGGATCGCAAGTTTATAAAGTTTTAGTCTGAAAATGAATGTTCTTCTAATTTTTGCCAACTCTCTAAAAAGGACTTGAAATTTTTGAAAATTATCTTTAATTCTGAGTTCTCCAGCATCAAGATGCTCAATTGCTTTTGCTATTAAATTACGGCAATTTTTGCTGTTCAATCCTACTTGATTTGTTTCTCAAACATATTCTGCTAGTTATTTCCCCCAAAATTTTATTTTAGAAAGTTTAGAGTTTGAAAAATTGCCTCTTCTCTAGCGATGATTTTTCTCTTGAGCGTTTGTGTATTAAAATACAGATCCTCATAAACTTTGAAGACTCCTTCTCAATGTACATGTTTTCTGGAATCGAGAAATTATCTGTGTGTTGAAGAGTTTGGTATTTTTCTCTTTCTCAGCTTTTCCCCTTAAGAAGCCACAAAGCACTTTATCTGGGCAATTTTGCTGAATTTTTCTTCCGTGATATTTATTTGTTGGGATGCAGTTAGTTTATGTTTAACTAATTATAAAGTTTGACCAATTAGAATCTTGTAAAATATTGCCTGTATTTTATGTTTAGGTGCCATATAGTTTCCTTTTGTGACAATCCTAATGTTTTTGTTTGACTCGCAAGGTTTTATTTTTTATGTCTGCTCCCTCAAAATACCTATAAGCTTATCGTTCCATGGTATGAAAAAAATACACCTTATCCTCTTGTATTTACCGTTTTTGACGAAACGTAAATGAAATGGGTACACCCAGTTGTTAAAGTTTCAAAAAACTCTCAAGCTCACTCACTTTATTATCAGGCAATTGTTTCGGAGCTTCGCTCCAGTTTCAGCTCTTTAACACAACGATTTGGTTGCAGTAGGAATGAAACTTACCTGTGAATGAAATTATGCAATGCACGTGTTTACACCAATTTTCATAAGGCTCATTTTCTTGTCTCCGTCATGAGTGTAAATATTTGTGCTTACCATTCTACTATTCCCCTCAACATCTTGCTGACCACCAATTAACGTTAAAATTGTTGACACGTTCATGAAATTCCTTAGCGTGTAGTTGCCACTTTCAACCGTACTCGGCAACATTGAGGGAAAGTTTTCAAGCTTTATTGCAAGTATATTTTTTTTAACTTGAGGAACAATCCTGACTTCGGTGCAATCACCTATTAACCATTCAGGTTTTCTATTGTAATTTCCACTCAATATTTGATCAATTATTTCTAGAAAAAATTTCAATGAAATACACAGCCCTCCTAGAACATTGTTTAAGTCTCCAGAATCCTGGTTATTGTGAAATTTTGTCATGAATTTTCTTCAAATGCCACCCTTACATGTTTCCTTTTGTTAACTTAAACCTTGTAAGTTTGAAGAGGGAAGTATGACTCATGAAAGTCAAGTACACCAGTGTATGAACGCAAAATTAGATTCATTAGTTAGATTTATGAAATCATTGTGCCTTGAAGATTTGACTGATAGGAAATGAAGCGAACCCTTAAGAAAATACCTACTAAAACTAAATTGCGATGGATAATTTTTCTGTGAGCATACTGTTCCGTGTGCTTTTCTGATGAAACAAATGTTTACCTGTGCACTGAAAGAAGTTGCTCAAAAATGTGTCAATCGGTTGCTCTGTAGTATTGTTCAAAGCATTGATTAACAGCTGGGTTATTATATTGTATTTTAAAATTTAAATATTTCACATTGATTTGTAATAGAAGCTTATAGAAATCCTGATGTGCCCCAAGGAAGTATCTTAATTTTGAAAATATGCACAGATTTGAGCATGAAGGTGTACATACTATCTTGTTTTTACGACCCTGCAAAAATTAAGATGAGTGTCCGTCAGCAGTGACCCTGTTCAAAAATGTTGTCAATGGTAGCTATACATCAATCCTGTTCAATAAAAGCACACACATTATTACCCATCAGTGCTTCTAGAGTGCTTTCTTCTGTGGAATTGTTGGTGTTTGTTTCATGTATTGGTGTTCTTGAAGTAAGGTTGAATTGATCAATGATATGTAAATTTCCAATTTAATTTTGGTCACACGGGAACTCCTAATTTTCGGTCAAAGCAAGACTGTAAAAGTAAGTGTTATACATCGGCAAGCTGATTCTAATATTATCAAGGGGTGTGCAATTTATAGGTACGATAAACTTCTTTTATCGTTATTGGGACTTGTAATTTGAGACTTTTTTGTACCTAGTCTTTAAAGATTTTCCATGGGCCTGCAATCTGTTGATGACCTCGATTCCACTCAAGCTGAGTTTGAAGAATGGTAGCTATCCCTAACTTTCTAGTGTTGCCACCATTTGCTGGAAAAACTCAAGCTCGCTTTCTGCATGAATGAATATCTTTCAAAGCTTCCTGTAATATGGTGTGATATGCAGGCAATAATGCTACTCTCCACACTTGTAGCGTACAGTTTAAAAATGTGTAACTTACAGAGTTTTGACTCTGTTGTAATAATTCAAGTAAAATGTTTTCTATTCACACGATCTCACTTCAATCAAGAAATGGAATGAAATTTAATTGAGATTATCACAAAAATAGCGGGTCGCTGATTAAGTGAATAATAAAACTGAATAGTATTTTCTCAGCCTGAGTGCCATACAATATTTATATAGCAAACGTAAAAAGGAAAACTTTAAAGTCCTTTGCACAAACTGTTGAAACAGTGTTTTAATAAAGTTGTTTGTTTAAGTTAGATGGATTTGACTGGAACCAACGTAATTACATCAGACATTGTTTCTCCATGGTTTAATTTTTAAAACAGGAAATCAAGTCACACTGAAATTTGAATTTTTGTGATTTTATCGTTGGTGAAACTACAAAAATGTGCATCTCTGTTGTAGAGTTTCAAAATCTCCACTTACATTTTATTTTTCAAAAGAAGACTGAACTAATATCATGACTTGAAACTTTCTCTGAATATTCATCACCAGGAGAAAAAAAATCACCAAAGATTCAAGAAATGAAGTTCGGTAGTTTTTTACGCAGAAAATAAAGTATGACACTAAGTCTGCATTGCCGCAAACAGAAATACGCATTTCTGCAGTTTCACTATCAGTATTCTTCATAATTAAAGTAAAATTCTGAGTTAAAATGCGCAGAAGTTGGGCAACATGAGATTCAGTCATGCCAAATCCAGTCTAGTCTGTCCATCTATACAATGTGTAGCACTTAGGTCTCTGATTCAACATTAATTTTATTCCAAACAAATGAGTCTCAGTGAAATTCTCATCCGTAAACATATGCAGCAATCTTGCTTAGCCTCAAAAAAGTGTGTCACTTGCACCTTTGTTCACCCCATTTTGTATCTGAATTCCTTTCAAACTCTCTTGTATAATCCTCTCATTTCATACCCCCCCTTCCCTCCCCTTTTCTTTGAGCTCCTGCACTGCAGTGCTGAGGAAAAATGCTGTAAGAACCCTCACACCTCGCCAATTTTCTTCGATTAAATACGATTTTTCAGGGAAATCTGTGAATATTTTTACTTCATTTTTTCAGAGGATTTAATTCACACTCAGATCTGAATTATCTGAAAATTTCAAGAGAAAACATTCATAGCTCTCCTTAAAAATAATCATTTTTCCGTAGGAACTTTGGCAACCCTCAAATGTTCGTACGGCATCATTCCTTACCACGGCAGCGAAGTCATTACAAACAAACAGAAATCGTCTCCTACTAATTATTCTGAGGCATTAACTTCTCATTACCTGCATTTTATGTACTCATGAATGGACATAAGTAATTTTAATTCAGAAGTGACTTGTCCTCATGAACTGACAAATTATCGAATTTAGATATTGAGTGAAAAGAAATTCTGATGCGTATCATTGTCATTCTAAAGGAAGCAATCGCTTGCGACATGTTCTTTGGTATCATTTCGTTCTGTTCATGTGTACATCTTTCAAGTGCGCTTGCTTTTTCCAATATTCTTGTTTTATTTATTTTTTTGTTTTTATTTTATTTCAATTTTATTGTATTTATTTTTATTTGTGTACATACGAAGTATTGTATTTATACATTCCTAGTTATTTATTCATACTTAATTTGTAATAATGTATTGTACATTGACTGGAAATGTTTTTTTACTTCTCAATATGACTTTAATCATTATGAAATGGTAATAATATCCTTACTATTTGCGACACATTGATGTTTGCGATGGATGATTACTTCTAGGAAAACTAAAGTTCAAATTTTGTTCATAATATGGTACATATTCGTTTCAGAAATTCATTTGCGTACATTGCGCACTAACTCGCGGTTGCAACTAATGTAATCGTGCGAGTTCATTGTAAATAACTTGTACATAGTTTCATTGAAATTTCCATGTGAGTACCTTTGAACTTGTAAATATCGTCTTTGGGACTGGTCTTTCTTACTGGAAAAGTTAAATCCCCTCCTCCGGTTCATTCAATATTTTGTTGTATAGCTTAAATTATTAAAAATATTTTATACTGTATCTACTGATCATTAATTAAATTGAACATGAAAAAAAAGAAAAAATTGAAGAAAAAAAAATCATAGTTTATACTTGTTTTAATAATTGAATTAACCTAATAAATAGAGATTTACTTTTCTTTTTTCATGTAAAAATTGTATAGGATTAGTTTATTTCAACTGTGGAATAATGTACTATTGTTCTTATTGTGCACATAGTCTCTTCAATAAATTATGATCGTTTCTTTTTTAATATATTAAATATCAGTGTTTTTTCATCACTAAACCATTCCGAAGTTGTATTGACCCAATACTTAGGAAATTTGACAGGATATCCGTGAAAGACAATCATTAATTTCAAAAATTTTATGAGACTCATGGCTTCAACAAACTTCAAAACTTATCTCAGTGCTAAATATGTGTAATTTTATTTCGATGCTTTCTTGCAGAGCCAAGGCAGTTTGAGATATTTTCATGCACATTTAGTGATCTTTAATTTTTCCATGAAGTTTCCCTACGGAAATTGAATTTCAAATTTTGACTTCCAAATAAAGTAAATTTTTTTAAAAATGTATGAGTTAGGAAATGCTTCTTGTTCTGGTTTAAGTAAAAAAAATGTTAAAAAAAGGTCTGAAAAATTGGCATCAAACTTTCGTTGAGGTCTATAAGTCACTCTCAATGATGCTAAAAACGTAATAAGTGCAAAATTTTGATGGCTATAGTGCAAAACCAAGTATCTCCATTGCGGTATTTCCGCCCCTATTTTATTTTTTGAAGAGAAAGAAGCCAACTTCAAATTTATATAGAATATTCTGCCAACAGAAGAAGAAAATAAAGGAAGTTTTGAAGAAATTACTGTTGTGACTTGTTTTTCAAGATAAAATAAAGTATGACAGGAAGTCTGCAACATCGCAAACAAAGATACATGGTTTCGCACTTTAGCATTCAGTTTGCAACATAAAATATTAATATTTCATGTCAAATTTATTTGAAAATTTACCAAAATGGAGTGGTTAAAAACTTGTGAGAGTCCAAGGTGGCATTTTTACGATGAAAAGAACCAAAAGGGTTTCCTAACTCAGATACTTTAATCGTTTTTTTACAGAGTTATTTGTTTCAAATTTACCAGTGTTTTAAATTGTTTTTCAACAGCCGATACCACAAAAATTTTCCTCAACAGATTTAACTTCTTTTAAAATCGTTGATACGCGATTAAGCTCTGTCTTCTATAATCTCATTTTGTATATAGAAGTTAAACTGTTCTCTCTATTTAAGGTTGCTCTATGGGTGCTTTCTGAAGTTAGTCTTCGTGGGTTTCTCTCGAATGTTAATGAAATGAAACTGCTTAACTTTTTAGAAAATAATGATTTTATTCAAACTTGAACGATTTTGGCAAGTACAGACATTCAACAGATGTAAAATTTTGGACCAATATTGGTCATTGAAATAATTATAGAAGTCAAGAAATAAATGCCGAAATTAATGGAAGTGCTAAAATAGTAGGTGAAGTAATCGCTAAAACTTATATACAAATGCGTAGGTACATTGAAAAATACAGTATCTTTAAAACTAGCTTATCAAGTTAAAAATGCACAAGAACCTTACTTCTAATACCATTAATGAGATACATTTGAGTATTATCACCCGTACTTAAAATTGTCTAGGACTCACAAACAGGAACTTTCCGAAAGAAAATTATTCAGTGCGAAAATATAACAGCACCTATAAATTCACAGGAGTCAAAGAATCAGGTTCCTGTGACGTAATCAAATTATAAAAAACCTTCTATCTAACTGGTTGACGTTTCTAAGTCATCAGATCTAAAATTTGAACGATAAATTTTTTCCAGATCTTCAGCAGAAACTGCTCCTTTATTCGTGATTTGATCAAGTAACAGGAGTCTAATTCATAGTTTGCAAGAGATCGTTACTTCTTGTTTGCATTTTTACTTCAATCTGAATAAATGAAAACACTTTTTTTAAGATGACTACGCTCGCAGCATCCCTGCTGAGGGTGCGCATCTTATTGTCAGAATGTGGCCAATGACCAGGTGTGGTGCTCTAGTGTTGGTGGCTCTAAGAAGAGCCGTTGAAAAGGGCAAGCCGGCCGGCTGCGAGATGTCCGCTGGGATGAGTGATGTGGCCCGTGTGACTGACGGGAGCGGAGTTACCCGAGACGGTGAGGTCACGGCATATGTAGCCGTGGTTGAGACTGCGGCGGCCAATGAGCGGCGAGCATGGGCTGCGTCGCCAGAGGTGAGCGGTGATTGGCCGCCACAAGAATTTTAAGATAGAAGTCTTCTGTACAACATAGTTTCATCTCTCGATATTAAAGCAAAATGTTCTTGTGATAGTCAATGCTTATCGTATCAAATTCAGTATATACAGAAAATACCCTCATACTACCACATGAAGGCTACATGATCGAGATATCAAAAATCCTCTGCTTGATTTGAGCAAACCGTAATCATCGACAGTTTTTACTCTTCTCTAGTATTACTCTTCCTATGTTTTTTCTTTACGAGGATGGTACAAAATGAGGGTCGACACTTCTCACTGCCTTCATATTTTGTTCAATTGTCAGCTGTTGCTCTGAACCTCAAGCTGACTGAAAAAGTGATTGACTCAATTATTCATCACCTAAGCAAGAATCAGGACCTAGGAGTTAGCTTCAGAATAATACCAGATTCTGGTCGTAGAATAAGCTCGTTCATCAAGGTTAGATCTTCAAATTTCTCATGTGACTCAACACGATAGTTCCGTAAAACGGCTGACAGCATTGTTTTCTCTTCGAGGAGGGCAAACTTTTGACCTGTAACAGAAAGAAGTTTAAGGTCTTTATTTTTTTTATGCAAAAATCCAGTATAAAAAATGAATTCTTAAAAATTTCTCTCATACCGCTGCTACAATAGACTTGAAATCTCATAGCTCAGATAATATTTGCGCTGTTATAAAAAAGGAAAAAGGTAAACATGTGAAACATAGCTTCCTGTTGACAAGAAAATTAAAGTGATCATGAAACATCAATAAATGCGGTGAATTGCAGTTCTAGGTCTTTCAAAGGATACAAAAACGTATGAAAACTTCTTTATAAATTTTATAAATTAAAACTAAATATCCATGCAGTAAATTTAATTTCAGTTGAAAATTATGAAATTAGGGACATATTATATGATACTAACCAATACAATTCCTAGGGCCAGCACTGAAAGGAACATAGGCGTAAGGGTGCCTTTTTGAAATTCGCTCAGGCAGGAAATTGTCAGGATCGAACTTTTCAGGGTTCGGCCATTGGTCCTTACAACGATGGATATGATAAATTTGCAAGTTGACCAGTGTTCCCTTTGGCACCTGGTAATTATCTGCAAGAGGAAAAAAAAAAACATGATGATTTGAATAAACACTTTTAGGTCCCTAATAGTTATAGCTAAAGTTGTAAAAAGAACCGTTCAGAGTGATTGCATCATTACTTCCGATGTCAAAGTAATCAATAACGAAATTTAAGGAGCTTTTTTTTAATTTAAGTTTTTGAGCCGTATTTTTCGGCTTAACCCTTTTATGATGAAACAGGTAAATTTTAGGAGTATGTAGATATTCCTGTAGGTAGTATTCATCCAGAGAATGAGGACTTCAAATTTTTCAACATTGAAAAAAATCTTATTTTCTTTTCTCTCTGAGGTGTGAATGACCGAAAATGCCTAGGCACCTCTATTAAATAAATATATATACTACCACTTCTAATCCTACCTACTACTAATTTTTTTTTAAAAAAAAAACACTTTTTTTATTTTTAAAGCAAAAGAACAGAAAGTATTGTTTATCAATCATTTTATTTTTGATCAATTTTGTTTATCTCAAAGAGTAGAGCTGCCTCCCAAAAATTTTACCCTCGAGTACGTTACCTATTTCAGGCGAATGAACTTACCAAAAGATGTATCTTCTTTCAATGTTCTGCCAATGAATGGGACGCTAGGGAAAAGCCTCAAAGAATCCTTGATGCATCTTTCTAAGTACTTCATGTCATTCAAGTCTTTCATTGTTGCAAGACGATTATCACCCTGAAAAATATTGTTCAGCTCCTCTGCCACCTTATCCTGAAAGAAAGAAAAAATTAGTTCCATATCATGCAGACCCACGCATCCAAAGATACTTACAATTATAAATTTCTTCTTTTCTCACCTAGGGCGTAGGAAATTTTCTAAAATATTCGCAGGATCAATCAAAATATCAATCGCACTGCATATTGCCTATCCTCTAAATTCAAGGCGTTGACATTATCGCAATTAATTGCATTTTTTGCTTCAAAAGTTACTAGATACATGTAGAAATAAAATGAAGAACTCGCTTAGTTACAGAAAAGAGGTTCGCGCGCATAGGTATTTCAATTTTTTTATTACTCTAAATAATTATTCCGTTTTACATTTAAAAAAAAAAAAAAAAAAAAAAAACCCTTCTGTGCGCCGAGCGTTAGGACCAGTTGCATGAAACCATGAATATTGCCAAAGAACTCATGATCAGTACTGATTTATTACCGCAAATCGCTCTTTTGTTTCGAAATCGGGGTTGGCGACGCGTAAACGACCGGACATTTTCGGCCTTTTAAAGTCTCATATCATCAAACATAATCATAATTTATCATATTTTTTTTTTAGCATGGATAAGTTCAGGGACATCATTCCAATTGATTTATCAACTTGGTTTTCAATCGTTTTGCCCTGAGTCGTTTATAACCCACGGCGACACGACTATTCCTTGAAATCACCCATTGGAGATTGCGAGACAGGTAAAAGAAAAATCCATTTTCGTGGCAGGTTGTGCAAATTGCCTATCCTCCCATTTGACGGCGCGGAAATTATCGCGATGTTTCGCGGTAATATACAATTAATACAAAGTGGAAGAAAATGGAAATAAGTTACAGTATAATTTTGTGTTGCGTTGCATAACCTGTAAGTTTTTTTTATGACCATATATCGAGGTAAAATCGCGATTAGTTGGCATGCTCATTGTGAAAATTTCAACAGTTTAATAATATGAAACTGAAACTATACTTAAAACATCTTTTTTCGAAAAAATGCAGTATATTTCATACATTAGTTTTATTTATTTAAGTATTCATGTGAGAATTGTTTCGTAAAATATTATTTACGGAAAATTATTGAATTTATTATGTGTAGATTTGCAGCTTTCGTAAAGTTTGCAATGCCGCTAAAATCCACAGTTTTTATTATTATTTGCAACGGTGCTGAAATTGTCACATTTTTGCTGTATTTGTCAACGCTGTAAAATTTTGCACATTTTTAACGTTGATAAAATTTACAATTTTAAAGCAATTCTGTGGAGCAATTGTATTTTAAAACGTCCTGTGGAGGATTTTGGCTATTTTGATGATAATCGCGGTTAATTTAGCGAATTATAAATACTGCCGAAAAATTCGAGTTAGCCTCTCCCCCCGCGCAAAATATCGCGGTATTAGTGAAATTTCACCGTGGTGCATTTCAGGAATAATTGTCTAAAATCACGGAAATCGTACACATGTTGTCTGAATATCAGGGCCGGATTTACCTACTTGCCGTCCATGGGCCGCCTGTATTTTTCCGTCCCCTTCTCATTTGTTAAGTGAACGTGCTGGTGTGGGAGGGGTGTATGAGACGCGTTTACTCGTGTTGGACACATTTTTTGTGAAAGCCCTGTCAACACTAACAAAAGTTCACGGAACTATACGCGGAAGTTAAGTTCCGTAAACCCATCCCTGTTTGGACAAGGTCTTCCATTTATAACAAACGAACGAAAAAATTATGAAAGAACATACATAAATGCGGTTTAATAATTTTAACTTCCGCCGCTGCGCGGACCGCACTGTGTTTGGCGCAATGCGTGAAGTTTTCATGCAGTCTTGTAGGCGCTATGCGTTTCCCGCCGACCGCTGCTGCCCGCGGTGTTTGACGCAATGCGTGAAGTATTCATGCAGTCTTGTAGGCGCTATGCGTTTCATGCAGACCGCCGCGCCGCGCCGCGCCGCGCCGAAGGCTTCTCCTTTTCATCTCAGTCCTCGTCATCATTGCTCTCTAAGCCGCCCCGCTCAAGGTCAAATTGCGTGTTTGGTTTCTCTCTAAACTCGACTAATTAAAGGTGCTGTCTCTTGTATCACCAAAAGACGACAAAATTAGAAACTACTATCCTTTTACTTTTACAGGAAATGAGAGATTCTGTCGCCTTCTCTCTTTTGTAATTTATCTTCTGAATCCGATTAGTTCTTCTTTTTTTGATACCTACATTCAAAAAGATTGAAAAATTTGCCGCCCCCTACATTTTGCCGCCATGGGCCGCGGCCCATGTGGCCACCCCCTTAATCCGGCCCTGCTGAATATTACGACTAATTGTAAATAGAAGAGATATCGGAATATGCCGCAACACATCGCGATTTTCTACTTTGAAAAATATTATTTGGGGATCTCGACGTTGTTGCCTCGATGTTTCGAGACCAATATTGTCACTCTCCGACCAAAGTATCACAAGCGCCATGCGACGGTTCAAAATTGCCCCCGCCATTAAGTATATTTTTTATACTGAGAAATTGTTAGTTGAATCTGTTCGAAAAGTTCACCGAATTCTACCTGCAGCACAGAGAAAATTCAATGAAATTTTCGGACAGCTTCGCTGAACAATTTCTCTGTAAACAAATAAAATGACGGTGGACATTTTTAAACAACGCATGGCGCTTGTGGTACTTTGGCCGGAGGTGACGATATATTGACAGCCAATTTTCCATACAACATTATAAGTGTACATCCCTTACATCAAGGCGGGCATAACCGAATCAAGCGCACTGAAGTTAAGGGATTCGAAATACTTACTTGATATTCAGGGTGGGATCCCAGCAGGAACAGGGTCCAGCAGATACCGGCTGTGGTTGTATCGTGTCCCTGCAAGAATGACAGAAATCATAATACTTCAGTCGCTGTTCGCTGTTTCATATTGACCTAGTCTAATGAGATTAGAATGGAGGAGAAGTATGGTTTTCGATAAAATTTGAAAATCCAGGGTTGCCATCATTTCTTCATATTCTAATTCCCTGATTTTTTGCTGACTATTTTTGCTTTTCACTGACTCCGAAATATTCTAATTCCCTGACCTTTGGACGAAATCCCCCTTTTTTTTCTCTCCCCCCCCTTTTTTTAGAAACACGCTGATTTACGCTTAACTTTGGACAAAATTTCCTTGTTCGGAGATCGAATCGTGAAAACTACATTGAATAGCTGGTTAAAAGATGACAAACCTTAAAAAAGACCAGAAAGGGTAAACAGTTGGAAGATCACCGATATGTTTTATTGATTAGTAAATGTACCAGAAATTCCCCAACTTTTCTCACAAATTCCCTGAAATTTCCCGGTCGTCGCAAATTCCCTGACTTTCCCTGATTTCACCGGTTTTCCAGTGGCGTGGCGTGAATGATCGATTATCGATATTTCCCCATTTGAAGCTAAGGTAAAGAGTCGATTATTAAGGTGTTCGCTGCGAACACCCTGTTCATCGATCATTTTCCATAGGTTTAAATGACAGCTCAATCGATATATCGCAAAGCTCGCCACGCCACTGCGGTTTTCCAGACCGCCGACAACCATGATAACGGAAGTGGAGTGAAAACTCAAATTTTTAGCGGAACATATTTCATGAGTGGTCACTCACATTGAATGAAATAACTTGCGTAAGGTATGATCGAATTATTATTATTTTTTTTACCAATCTCTAAGTTTCCAACCTCAAAATACGATTAGCGAACCAGATTCGGAATCAACGCGTCTGAATTTCGGACCAGAAACATGCAGTGAAGAACTTACGACTTGGAGCTAAATGTGACAGAAAATTGGACTGCATTCTGCACTTTGGAACTATAAATTCTGGCTCTTCTGGAAAAACACATGTGCATAGCGAAACTAATGGTACATACGTTGTTCTTAAATCGGGCTACAATTTATAGTTACAAATTGCAAAATGTAGTCCAATTATACGTGCGTAAGACTTACCTCAAACATGAAAGTGTCAACTTCCTCTCTGATCTCAATGTCTGTGAGCGCGGACCCGTTTGAATTTTCTGATGCCTCTAGCAAGAGGTCCAAAAATGCCAGTCGTTTCTTTTTGCCTGCGGAGGAAAAAAATCGTTGTTTTACTTTAGTGGGAATATAAAATGACGAACGAGTCCGAAGTATGTGGTCCACAGGTAGCATTTTGTAACGTAAATAGTGAGATGGAGTTGTAATTTAATTAATGGGCCGCCTGTTTTTTGCCACCCCCTTCTCATTCGTTTTGAAACACCAATAAAAACCATCAAGTGAAAGTGCCGGAGGGAGAGGGGTGCATAAGACGCGTTTACCTACTCGTGTTGAGTACATTTTTTGCGAAAGCCCTGTCAACACTACTAGCAAAATTTCACGGAACTTTGCGCAAAAATTAAGTTCCGTAAACATATCTCTGTGTGAAAAACATCCTCCTTGTATAAGAAATGAACCAAAAAATTAAAATGAACAAACATAAATGTGGTTTAATAATTTTTACTTCCGCCGCTGCGCCGGGCTGATCGCACTGTGTTTGGCGCAATGCGTGAAGTATTCCTGCAGTCTTGTAGGCGCTACGCGTTTCACGCCAACTGCTCCCGACCGACGCACTGTGTTTGACGCAATGGGTGAAGTATTCATGCAGTCTTGTAGGCGCTAATATAATATGTTACATGTCGACCGCAGAGCCGAGGGCTTGTCCTTTTCATCTCAAGTCCTCGTCATCATGCGCTGAGCTCCAGGCCAAATTGCGTGTTTAGTTCCTCTCTTAACTCGACTAATTAAAGATGCTGTCTCTTTTATCACCGAAAAACGATAAAATTAGACATTACTATACTCTCAGGAAAGAGAGATTTTGTTCCCTTTTCTCATTGATAATTTTTTTTTCTGAACCCGATTTGGTTTATACCTACATTTAAAAAAATTGCAAAATTTGCCGCCATGGGCCGCGGCCCATGTGGCTGTCCCCTTTATCCGGCCCTGCAATTATTGTAATTTTTTCATGATGAAACACCAATATTTTTACATTGAGCATTCGATCGATGGAAGCCGATCTAATAAAATAGGTGCCATGTATAAGAGGGGTGAGTAGTTTTTTGATGAGAAGAAAAATGGCAACTTTTTTCTTCAATACTTACTGCAATAGACAGTAAGATGAGCCCCTTTAATTCGTTGATAGGCAACACACAGAACTCTCCTGTGCAGTTGAATTGATTTTACCATGAAATCGCTATTGCTGCGTGGGTCAAAGGTAAATTTCGTAAACTCATTACCACTTAGATGGTTATTGAACATATAAGGATAAGCCGAGGACTTATTCGATGCGAGTTTCTGTTCGAGCAGTACAGTGGCCCCTCACCTTTTACTTTTCCTAATAAAATTAAAACAAGTTGCAATTTTCCTTTGCGTTTCAAATAATTGCCAATTTTTCGACTGACTGTTTGAGCGTATGGAAGAGGCATTTATTGGCCGATTGTTGCAAAAGTATTTTAATTCCATGGTAAAAAAAATGCAACTTTATCTCAAAAAATTGCAACTCCATGTCAGTGTTTTCGCTGCAAGATGCCACTAAGCAGTAGCACCTAAGTATACGAGTTTTTCCTGAGAACATTGCAGTGAGTTTTTTAAAACAATATCATCACTGTCTCCCATTTTTATGCAACTCTTTCTCGGTAAGGACGTACAAAGCATTAGATGGGAGAAATCACGCATTTGATGTAACGAGGATGCTAAAAATTAAACATACAATAGAAATTTAAGTCAGGGGAGGGTTAAGATACGACTTAATGTTTACCTAGTAATTCTGCGTCTTCGTCAACTGTTTGCTCGATGTGCTTTCCATTTGACGACGATCTCAAAGCTTTACGTTCCTTGATGACCTGCAAAACAAAAGAGAATACCTAATCAGGACTTGAAGATAAAAACAAACCGTTATATGCTCAACCGGCCTTTGAAAAGAAATAGAACGTACCTATTCATGCTGGCGGAAACAAAGCACAAACAACTTAAATCAAAAGGACATAAGTGCACAGGATTTGTGAGTTCATAGTTCTTTTGGCGTTTATTCGGTCACACATACTTCTTGTTTGTGTTAAAACGTCCAACTGGAAAATTCACATCTATATTACAGTGTTTCAAAATCTCTTAATCTATTCTAATTTCGAGGAAGGAACCCAATCAACGCTTTCGCTTAAAATATTGAAGAAATTACTCCCACATGAGCAAGAAAAATCACGCAAATTTTCTAGTGGGGATGTCGGTCGGTCAGTTTCCTTCCAAATAATGAAAAAAGAGATGAAATTTTGAAACACTGTAATGTAGATGTGACTCATTAGCTTAACTCTAGCCAAGTTCGTCTCATTCTTTCGCTGAATCCTCTTAACGTCTCATCGATGCAGGGTCGGACTGGCTCGCATCTGAGGGCGTAGACCCTTGGCTGGTTAAAGGGGCGTAATGTGATATTTCCTGGTAGGGCATTCACTACGTGGAGAGGGGTTCAGAAAATTTTGGCAAATCAGCACAAAGTTCACGCTATTTTCAAGGTTCAAAGTTTATTGATCGCACGGAGTAAAAATTGCAAAATTGAACGTGAAGCACAGCATTGAGAGCTCACGCTTCGCGTCATCGCGCCTTCAATTTTTCAGATGCAGCACGGACGTCCATCAAGTACGAATAGTTGTATCTCTGCGCCGTCGTAAACACGCATCCTATCCCTTCCTCTTTTTCCATATTGTGTTTGTTTCCGTTTGTCTCATTCGTAATGGTGCTTCAAACACTACGTGAGTAATACAACCGAAGGTAGGAGAGATGTCTTCAGGCCTTTTTTAAACTTTTCTCCCGAATCAGAGCGACGCTTCATTGACAGCATGAAGCAGAGCATTGAGAGCTCACGGTTCGCGTCATCGCGCCTTCAATTTTTCAGATGTAGCACGGACATCCATCAAGTACGAATAGTTGTATCTCTGCGCCGTCGATAACGCGCATCCTTTCCCTCGCTTTATTTCCATATTGTGTTCGTTTGCGTTTGTCTTATTTGTAATGTTGCTTCAAACCAGAGCAGAGCATTGCGAGTTCACGACTTACGGCATCGCGTCTTACATTTTTCATATGCAAAGTGGACATCCATCTTGCGCGAATAGTTGTATCGCGTTTACATTTTAGATGTCTCTTATTTTAGAATTTCGAGATAAATTAGGGTTAAGTTTGCCCGAGCTATGCTATGGTATGTCCAAATCAATAGTCATTTGAAAAGGATGAAACATGTTAAAAGGTCTCTCAAGAGGTCTATACCTAAAGGATGCGTATATCTAAAAATCGAACCGACCATCGCTTTTAAGGGAATTACACATAACGAATGAAGGAGGGGGATGATAACGCTCCTGTATGTCAAGAAGAAGGTGAAAATTTCACAGAAAATTGTTTACGCTTCAGAAAGTAGTTCTTGGACCTCTGCCCACCACTATCATGCGTTAAAGCACCTTTCTGTACTCCTAACTCTCTCTTCTTCCGTTCATTTGAGAAATTTTTCTCACATATTCCGTAATTTTTCTTCTTCTCCTTATTTTGCTATCTGTAAGAGGGGCGCGTTTTCGGCGCGCAAAGGGGGCGTATCTGCCAATGGCAGATTGGCCTTATGGCTAGTCCGAGCCTGCGTCGATGACTGAAGATTAAAAATGCCAATCTCCAATTGCGACGTCGAAAGTCTTTGCTCGTTTTTTTGTATTGAAATTTTCTTCACTCATTGAAATATATTTACTTATTAATAACAGAGCGAATCCATAATTAGTTTTCTTTTGAAGAAAATAAATAAAGAATAATACAAAATAATTTGAGATGATTGGTACACTCAGTCGTTGATTACAAAAATACAAACTCTGAGCTCACCTTTTTTTTAAAACCCTTTTATTTACTTACCTACACAGGGGTCTTGAGGCCAAAAAATGCTACAAAAATGTACCAAAAAACGGTTTGCAGGGGGTGAGTCTATGATACGTGTGGACTTAAGATCGCGAGAAATCAAAATCTTTTCGATTCTAATTGAGCTTTTCTTAATTTTCCTTCTTTTGTTTTTGATTCGCCTTCAACCACGTCCGCAGCAATTGTTGTTAAGAATATGTTGTGCGTGCTGATCTCAGCTCATTACATACTTGACTCTTTGCAGGCGTTTAATGTGCGAAAGAACTACCTCGTTCGTTCTCCAATAGATAGCGCTACTTGCGCACATGAAACGCCTTCACAGAGTCGAGTATGTAATGGACTGAAATCAGCACGCACAACATATTGACTAACGAGTGTTGAGCGGTTTACCTTTTTTTTCGTTCGATTCATGTCGATCGAATACATTCCCTCTTGTTACACGCAGTCTTCCCATCATACTCTTTTTTTAAACTGAACAATTCGCCTTCAGCTGCGTCTAGCTGCAGCAATTGTTGTTACGAATATGTTGTGCGTGCTGATTTCAGTCCATTACATACTCGACTCTCTGAAGGCGTTTTATGTGCGCAAGTAGCTCCATCTGTTAAAGAAAGAACGAAGTAGGGATTGAGCGATTTCAATCTCACTTCTGCTGTTCTCCAACAGGGTGCTCTACTTTCGCACTTAAAACGCCTTCAGAGAGTCTAGTATGTAATGAACTAAAATCAGCACGCACAACATATTCGTAACAACAATTGCTGCAGTCGCAGCTGAAGGCGAATCGTTCAGTTAAAAAAAAAAGAGTATGATGGGAAGACTGCGTGTAACGAGATGGTATGTATTCGATCGACATGAATCGAACGAACAATAAAAACGTCAACGGAGCAACACCGATTCAATGGACAAATAGATTAAAAAGCTGATCAAAATCAAGTCTCGAAATCAAGATCAGCTAAGATTTTGATTTTTCGCGATTTCAAGTCGACACGTATCATAGACTCACCTCCTTTAAACCGTTTTTCGGTATATTTTTGTCAATTTTTTTTGCTTCAAGACCACGGTGCCTACTTCAGAAAAGAAAAAAAAGGATAAGAGTTATCTAAGAGTTTACATTCTTATAATTGACGAGTAAGTGTATCTATTGTTTTAAACGTTCACTGTTTAGAAAGACCTATCTTCACCGAAAATATAATCTGAGATCTTAAAACGCAGCAACGGCGACACGAATTATTCGACTTCAGCAATTGGTCTCTCCTTGTGATATAGTTCACACCTGGCTTACGGCTATCACCGATTCCTCGGATGAATAGAATCCAAAAAATTGGGAAGTATCAAATGCTAACGACAAGATTGCATAGGTTTGAAATCGAGAGGACTTAGTCATTTGAAAAACTGTCGAGATGAGGAAAAAGGGTGAAAAGTCTGAATGAAAGTGTATGATTAATTGCATGTCTGGTTTTTGCAGGCGCTTTTTGCGCAGGGATCAGGCAAAGATATTTCGATCCCTGATGTTAATTTCATTTCATCACCCGATGACGGCTTGGTTTCAGCAAGATGGCCATGAAACTAGTTACTTACCTAAATCTTCAGATTTTTAGAGGAGCAGTCTTGCAAAGAAAATACGCGTGCTATCGTTTCATTTAAAGCTTTCTAAAACTTTAAATGTTCTCCAGTAGTCCGTTTTGTTTAATCCCACAAGATTTTGATGCATGAGTCTTGAATTTATAACTTCTTACCTTTTTTTCCAAACTCTTTTCCGCTTTTTCACAGATTTCGTTAGTTCACTAAAAAATGTCAATTAATCTTCTGGACTTGGAATATTTGACGTCATTCTTGCGCTAATATTGACATGCATTTTACAATTTTTTTAAGTACCTCGCCAACTTGCACTTTTAGGAGCCATCGCATAGGAAGTGACATTGCATATTTTTAAATCGAATGACTTCTATACTATAAGCTCCAAGACCTCCTAATTTTGCGAAACTGGTAACGCTTAGTTCCAGCGTTCTACCGGGCCGATTTTCATGATTTTTGCGGCAATCGACGGGCAATTGTCTCTAGATAAGCCAACTCTTTTCAGATTTTCAAAATATGGCCCAGGTTTTTTTATATTACGTGGTAAAGTTGCGAATTCTCCCATTTAAACAATGTAAATTTATACTTTTTGTCATAGTTCGTTTGAGCGTTCTACCCCGGCCGATTTCCATGATTTTTGCGTAAATGGACAGGTAATTAATAGGCCCTAGTATTCAAATAAGCTTTATGAGTTCATTTTAATAAGTTAAATTTTTTGGTCGAGGAGTCAGTAAATTACTAAAAACAGAACTCTTATTTGTTGATAGTTACCCTGGTTGTGAATCCGTGGAGAACGCTTAGACATTCACTATAACGTTTACCGTAGTCAGTCATATTGAAAACTAAATCAGGCCAAAACCATGGTTGGAAGGACCGTTTGAGGGTGAGCTCACTGATACTGAAACAAGGAGGGGCAGAGATAAGTAGAAACATAAAATATGTCGAAAGGGTCTACCTCCACCAATACTTTCGTACTAAGGAAAAACGCCGCACGGTGGATCGAGTCAATGGAGGAGGTCGGACAAAATTTGGAAACTTTCAACGCTTGTAACTCCGTTTATACAAAATTTCGAGGTTCTAAAAGTGGTTTCATCGGTTTTCTCGTAAAATTTTCTTCTACAAGCACCCCTTGAAAGGACTCTATGCACGGACCCCCCAAATGTGCCCGTTTCAAAAGTTAACGAAATTTATACCAGTGATAGAGGGGCACTTCCGGTCTCCAAATCCGGGGTTGGTTTAGTCCCCAGCCCCCCGAGTGCGACGTTGCCGTTTTTGAAAGTTGAAACATGTTAAACCCCATAACTTTTGAGCAATTAAAGATACATAGGTGCGGTTTGTTTCAGTTGATAGAACATAAAAAGAGCTATCATTTCGTATATAGTTTTTATCCATTTTTGCCAAATTTATTCAAAAATCGGCAATTTTTCGATTTTTTCAAGGTGCAAAAATACGGTTAACCTAAAAGAGTCGGTATTGGGACACCACGTAGGAAAATAAAAAACACGCGCAATTAAAGCCCTTAATGTGAGCTTTCCAACGGTATATCGATTTTTCCGGGGAAACGATTCTATCGCGAGATACAGGCCTTCAAAGTCCGACTTGGCGTACTTTTTGGAGGTCCCGCGTC